CATTGTTTTTTTTCTTTTTTGTCTTTTTCTTTTTTTTTTTTTTCTTTCCCCTCTGTTTTCTTTTTTTCCCTTGGGGGGGCTGTTGTTTTTTCCCGGCCCCCCCCCCCCCCCCCCCCCCCGAGCATTATATGTATGTTTTGCGGCCCTGTCAGCTTATTGTTTTTGTTAATAAATCTTATTTTATATATACATCCTGAGTCCTTGCCTGCCTGCACCAATGGGTTCACTAGCACCAGCCTTTTTGAGACAATGCCAAACTCGGGGTCAAGATTAGTTTTAGAAGTGGAGGGGATGCTGCAGCATTCCTTTAACCAAACCGTGGTGCCTTTAGTGAGAGGAGGAGGAGGTGGAGATCAGTTGATCCCGTCTGTGCTTTGATCTTGCCTGATAGGACGAAAGTTAGAACCTGAGAGTAAAATAAGAACAACACTGGTTCTGTTGGGACTGATGTGCTTTTGTTCTGCCCCGCAGCTTCATGCCGCCCCTGCAGCGACTCAGAGCTGCTCATGGCCGTCTGCAGCAGTGACTTTGGTGGGTACAGATCTTAATCGACCCGAGGGCCTTTTCTTTTTAATCCACCTGATTCAGGGTTTATTCTGCCAACGTCTTGAGTGTTAATGAACCCATAATGAGCTAAATGTTCTGCAGGCTCAAATGTTTTGGCTATAAAATCAGTTCTGGCAATGGAAGAGACGTTACAGCTCTGTTTCGTTTCTTTCAGTGGTCCGAGGCCACATTAGGAACATCTCCCATGATCCTGTGCGTCACACGTCAGTGGTGGAGGTGGCAGCAGCCAGGGTGTACCGACAGCGCAGTGGAGCCTTTGAGCTACATCCTTCTGCGTCCCCTCCATCCTGGCGTGGACACATCCACATCCCCCTGCGGTGCGGCGTGAAGCCTGGAGACGGAGCGTTTCTCTTTACAGGGTCCGAGCACTTCGGGGAGGCTTGGTTAGGGTGCGCTCCTCGATACAAAGACTTCCTGTCTGCTTATCACGAGGCCCGGAGAGAACGAAGAAACTTCTGTGACTTCCCTTTAGACAGATGATGTGTTTCATCCACGACTCTCTGATGGCACCGTGGGGGCCTCGTAATACAGCCATGGGCCAAGAAAGTGACATCTAGCAGCAGCATCAGGGGCGAAGCTGATGAAATGTTGCAAAACAGATTTACTGGTGCAGAACCAGGGAACTCCTGCTCTGAGGAGGAGCTGAGGAGGAGCTGAGGAGGAGCTGAGGAGGAGCTGAGTCGCTGCTTCCTTTCTGCAACTCTGCTTCTGGAGTGGAAGAGATTCATCATCATCTTGTCTTCAGACCTGTTCTTCTCTGCGATGATCAAACTCAGTTTGTGTTTCCGTTACGACCCCACTGCTCAAACGTCAGAACTTTAAACATCAAATGGTCGAATTTAATGGAGCTGACAAAAGTTTTCTGTGGACTCACGATTGGCTTTGATTAGAAACAACAAACGTCTTCACGTTTCTCTCAGGCTTATCATCGGCTCGATTTGACTAAAGATTTTTCTATTTTTACTCAACACGTCTTTGATTTTAATGTATCCTGTGAATAAATTTGACAAACTTTTAAACCTTGTGTGTAATTCTTCTTAAAAACAAACAAACAAACAAACAAACAAAAAAACGACTATTCAAACATTTTAATTTGTGCTTCAGCTTCCTAACACTCCTCCATTAGACTACACCTCCTCTCTCCATCATGAAGTGCTTCATCTTTGGGGTTTCAAGAGAAAATGGTTTAGTGCAGAAACTTTTTCTTTTAACAACTTTCTTCAACGCAACAATAAAGAATGTTACAAATGGAGGGGTGGGCTTTCTGAAAACAATTAGAATGTTAAAAAAAAAAAATCAAGTTTGAGGTGTTTCTCTGTAATTTTGTGTTTCTTCTCGATTGAAGGAGGCAAACAGAAAGATGCCAGGCCCTCTAAGCCTGGGGGGCCCCCTTCCCCCTTCAGCCCCCCGCCAGCCAAGAGAGCAAATAATTGACTTTTGAAGAAACGTCTCTCTGAGCTGTTTCACACTTACCTCGTGGATGAGCACGCCTCACAAATTGGTGTGTTGAACTTTTTACGAGCTTTAAATAGCTGCCAGTGAAAGTGCAAACGGCCGAGGTGTGAATGGCGACCGCACAATGGCCCCCCCCGGCAGCGACGAGGCCTCCGCAGACACAATGACCATTGTTGGAGCTGCTGCCACTGTCAGGAAGCATGAGTCCAAGAAGTCACAGGGTTGAGACATGTCTTTGTACTTTTATTTTCAGCTTTTTATTTGCTTGTGAATTCTCGAGTTAGTCATGGAGTTCCTCAGAGTTCAGTGCTTGGACCAATATGCTTTACCTTATATATGCTTCCATTAGGTAATGTTATTAAACAGCTTGGAATCAATTTTCATTGTTATGCTGATGATAGTTGTCCATGAAACACAATGAATCCAGTTACTTAGACTACAAGCATGTCATAAAAACCTGAATGACCCTAAATTTTCTGCTTTTAAACTCAAAACAAGACTGAAGTTTTGGTTTTTGGACCTGAGCATCTTAGGAATAATTTGAACAATTGTTCACCCTCCTTGGATGGCATTAATCTGGCCTCCAGCTCTAATGTAAAAAATCTTGGTGTTGTACTTCTGTTGTGACTGAAAAAAAAAAACTGAATTTAATTGAAACGGAGGTATTTTCAAATGCTATATCTAATCGTTTTATTTGTGTACTCTACAGAGATACAGCGTAACAATTTCAGTTTTATATTCATGAAAATAACAAAGTTGCTTTGCATTTCCTAGTGGGGTGTCTATGTTTCTGAAGCATAATTCTATAAATGTTTCGTTCTGATGAAGGATGACTCAGAAGTCCTGCAGACGCGCAGTATGACGTTGCCTCCTGCGGTATTGTCCCAGGAGGCCACCATGTCAAATTTCTAAGCAAAATATCGTCTCACTGTGGGCTTTTCACTCACACAATTCTCATCTCTGGGAAATCCAGCTGGCTCTCATGGGGATACAGCCTCAGAGGGCTCGGAGCCCGGAGCTGCTGCATGCTGCAGCCGCAGGAGTCCACTCGGACTGGGGGGTAATTGGTTTATCCCACCGCCTGGTCTGCTTTCCCATGTGGGCCACTGCTGCGGGGAGGCCCAGGGGTACAATATGGAAACAGCATGACACCCTCCAGGGCTAAGCCGGCATTCAGGGACGGAGCAGAGACGGCGCTCGTCTTTCAAAAGGGCTACTCCTTTTAAAAATGGACTGCATTTGTGGGTGAAAGTGAGAAGTAATTCAATTTTGACTGAAGCTATAAAAACACAACACATCTTCAATTGAAAGGGGAGTGAGTTGGAGAGACTTTCCAGATGTCCATTCATCATTGGTGCACATATGTTTTACTTCTTCTTTGTTACAGAGTCATGACATTCCAGGAGCACAGTCGTCTGAAGCAGTTTTATTCAAAGACAACTCGGGAAACGTTTAGGAGTTGTGTAAAATGTAAATGAAAAAACAAAATGCAATGGTTCGCAAATTGTATAAATCCTTTTTTTTTTAAATTCACACTGGCACATAATAAACATCAAAGTACTTCATTTTAAAGTAAAATAAGGTAGTTTTGTATTTGATGGCAGTAACAAGAACTATGACAGGGGCTGTTATCACTGTGAAACATCTCCTGTGAACGTTGAGCTTCTGGATGAGAGCGTTATTCCCTTCTTGGTGGATGTAGCTGCTCAAGCTGGGTCTTTGCTGGTTTTGTTTATTTTTGGTTGCTTCTCGATGTTTAAAATGTTTTCTCTTGGTGAGAGGTCTGGACTCCAGGCAGGTCAGTTCAGCACTTCTACTATGAAGCTGGTGTGATGGAGGCAGCATTGTCTTGCTGAAATATGTACGTCCTTCCCTCTGGCTGGACACTGTTGTTGATCTAAAATCTTTATATACTGTTATGCATTCATAATGCCTTTCCAGATAAGATAGAGGCACTAATGCACCCCTATACAATCAGAGAGGCAAGTTCTTTTTTTAACTGTGCAGTGACAACTGGCTCGATGATCCCTTCACTATTTAGTATGGAGGATGTATCATCCATAGTTTCCAGTTTTACTCTTTGCCTCTGTATATTTTAAATGAGCTTTGGTCCAGAGATGATCATTTCAGGTGTTCGTCTTTGTCTTTGTCTTTGTCTTTTTGCATGAGACAGCTTTGACCAGCATTTGTGAGCGATTCAGAAAACTGACTGGTAGAAATGTTCCTGAGCCCATCAGCGAGGTCCATAACGGAAACAAACCTGCTCAAATACAGGATGCTGAAAATGTTTTGCTCATTTTATAATGACATATTTAAAAAATAATAATAAATTGAAAAATATCAAATTGGAACAAAAAAGTCACAATCTCCCCAAGAAAATGGAGGAACTGTATTAAACTGAAAACATCTGAGAGAAAGAACAAAAGTTATGAGCAGCACTGGCTCTAAATATTAGTTTTAAAGTAAAGGCTTCAATAATTTAAGTTTTATCTCCATCGTAAACAAGATGTATTTTTAGTACTTATGTCTGATTGCATTTTGTACTGTGCAAAAGTGTTAAACCATCACTGGTTTCTTTATATTTTGCTTCAAAGGAGCGAGACTTTCTTGTATTTCACTTAAGTTTGAAATGTTTGTAACAAATGAAATGATTTTCAGTGTGGACATGAGAGGAGCCACGAGATGGCAGCAGATCTTCAGATGATCAGAGTGGAGAAGTCTGCCAGCGACACTTCCGGTCAGCTTTCTAAATGTTTGCCATTTCTACTATTCAAGATCAAGTTCTTGTTTTCTGAAGTGTTTCAAAAACTTTGGGAGGATTATTGTACACACAGACTCCAAATGTTAAAGGGGCCAAACAGCCTCTGTTGGAGTTATATTATTTATTTAATAAAATCACCACAAAGACCCAAAAATAAAAACTATTCGATGCAAATTCCTGCACAATATGGCTCTAAAAAGCTGCAAACAAACTTAAAAGCACTCATTTTGTAGAATTTTTTTTTTTTTAGTGAAATCAGGAACAGAAAAGCTACAGACTAAAAGAAACACTGAAAACGAGTTTGAAGTAATTTAAAATAACAGAAAACAATAAAACATAATCAACACACCAGAAAACCTCTGACTACAAAATAACTGGAAATAAGAGAGAACACTACATCCAGGAAGTTGAAGGGATAGTGCACATTTTTGGAAGCTGTTTTTCACTGAAAGGTTATAAACAGTTAATATCTTACCTGTTGCAGATAGCCTTTTTTAATCACCTCAGTTTGGAAAAATAAATTTGAATTCTGAACACACTGACTTAGAGCAGGATTGCTGTAAAAGAGAACTCAGCTTTACTTGGAAACCCAAAACAGAACCAGTTTTAAGTCCTACACCTGCCACAAAAACAGACGGGGCTTTCCCTGTAGCTTAAATAAATAAAAACACACCTCAGACAAACATTTTAGGTGCTGGCTCTTATTAATTCATGTTCTCCCCTTCTTGCTGTATATTGAAATAATCCCTCTTCTCATATGTTTAGCTGCAATTAGTTGATTTGTGCTCAAAAGAATGGTCATGTGACCATGATTGCATCATGACATCAGTGCACTCTGATTCCAAAAATACAGCACAGCAACTCTTGCAGATCAGAATCTCATAGCTTTAATTTTAAACAACAAAAAGAGGCAGAGCTATTCGTCCATCTTTTTATGCCGATGGCTATTCCTGCTGGGAAAGTGCTAGGAAATGCTATAGCTAGCTGCGGCTGCTATTTGCACTAAAAAAACAGCCACAAAATAATTAGTGTATTTTTAGTGTATAATTAGTGCAGAAATGGCAACGGCGTAAAGAGTGTTGTAAACTGCTTTGAAATTTACTGGAGTTGTTTTGAGACACTTTGGTGTTGGCCACAGAACTCCACTTCAAAATGTCCGGAATGTCCCTTTAACGCACTCCTTCACTGCGCCTTGGCGTCATTTTAATTCATGTTTTCTTTGTTTTAACCGAGGTTGTTTTTTTTAAAACTTTGCTGTGGCAGTATGTCAGACTGAAAAAAGGTTGGGACTTCACTTTTTTTTTTCAGAGGTATCACATGTCACCACCCGCCGGGCCATGCGGATCATTACAGTGGGGAAGTTGCAGCACTTCCTCCTTCCTCTCCGAGCTGGTTCTGAAACCAGTCAGACCTCCAGACGGACCGTGTCAATGGGGAACCAGCAACTCGTTTTCACAGACTTTTCTTAACGGAGCTTAAACTAAAAGCCACGGCTCATGTCACCGGGGGAGAACACCACCCGCACCACCCAGATCTAGTGCGTAATCACACTCCAGCTGTTTGAGCCACAATGGCTGCGACGTAGCGCTACCTTTTTTTTTTTTTTTTTTTTTTATCTGATCGAGAGGATTGTGACTTTTACAGCCGAAAAGGAGACCTTGAAGGCATCTGAACATGAAGAAGCAGTTTAATCGCATGAAGCAGCTCGCCAACCAGACTGTTGGAAGGTGGGTGTGTGGTTAAACTACATGATGCGCCTCAAACTACTGAGGTAGTTTGGATCTTCCATTGTCAGCTGCTGCTGCTTCTTCTTCTTCTTGTTGTGGGCGGTGTCGGAAGAGCTGACAGGACTGTGTAAGATAGACAATCTGAAAAGTTTCATCAGGTTTTAAGAAATTATGTTTCTTGTTGAGGTGTTTATGGTCGAAAAACTGGTGGGCTTTTATTTTGAAATCCACACTCTAGTAAAGCTAAATAAAAAAAAAAAAAAGGAGCAGCTTGTTTTTACTAAGTCAGCATTTGTTGCTTTTATGGTTATCCTGAACAAAATGTGGTGACGTCACTGGGACTAAAACAAATGGGGGATAATAAGTGGGATATTTCCAGATTGGTTTTTATAAAAGCACAATCTGTGGATCCATCTGGAGATGTTTTTTTTTTTTTTAATTATTATGGACTAGTGACACCAGGAGGTCAACATGTAAGGAACCCCACCTCACCCTCCAGGACCTGTTGACCTGTTGCCTCTTCAATCTGACAATAGAGAAAAGATGGATAGATACAGGTCACCTTATTCTTCAGGGGACCTCCTTTTTTAACTGCTTTTGCCAATTTTATATAATTAATATTTATACAAATTAGTCTCATTCTGCCATGAAGACTCATTTACAAGAGAGACTGGATAGGTTCTTCAAATATCTATAATGACACTTTTCCTCGCCCAAAAGAACAATTCAACTACACGTATTGCTTTTTGTCTTTTCCACCATGAACATTTCAGAAATCTCAAATGCAGTTTTTCCACGACAAATGACATCATTTTCTCTCTTTATGTGTATTGAGCTAAATTTTCATTTTACATATTCAGCATTACAAACTATTCCAGATAGTTCTCATATTATTTTAAATATTAAAAGGTAGCATTTTGGTTAAAAGTTAAAGTATTTAAAGACGTAAATGTGGTGTGATTATGTGTTATGATGGCCTGCCGTACACTTGTTTTGATGCTATGCAGTCTTTCAAACAAGTTTAGTTGGAAAGTGGACATAAATCCATTTCCTGATGCTCGCAGGAGATTAGACCCTCCTCTTCCTTTCTTCTCCTTCATCTCGGTCCTCGTGGGACAGTCCAGCCCTGCTCCTCTATCAGCCAAGTGACCCGACGCCTCCTGCCATCGCTGTCCCATCAGTGGATAAATGTCTTGGTGTCCTCAAAGCGTCTCTACAGCAGGACGTTTTCTGTCTCTGCGGGGCTGGCCTTGAATTTCTTTCCACAAGCGTTTTATTCTCATGTTGTGCAAGAGCAGAGCAAAGCTCACACCCGGCCTGGATTATGGGTGGATGGAGTTTAACATGCCAGAAATGTTCAGGTGGCGTTTGTAGCACAAAATAAGGGAGTTGGAGAATAAATAGATGAAATGATCATGTTTAGTTCAGCCCAAAAATGACATCTGACTGGTCATGTTACCTTTTTTTTTTTTTAAAGCATAATAAACCATAAATCATACTAAAAGTGGAAATTTTAAACGGATTCAAACCAGGTCAGGTCAGTGTGTTTTGATTAGCAGCTTTCTGTTCGGCCCATGAAGGGCACGGCACTTTGTGGCGTAAGCGTTTCCGCTGTTGTTGGTGGCGATACGATGGAGGACGGGGACCGTCTTGCTGCCACATGAGGGGTGTCTTTTTTTTTTTTTTTTAAAAGAGGAAACCAGTCTGATCTGAATGTGCTTAATAGGAGGAAGCTTCGTGATTCAGGGGGAACAAATCTGATCACTTGTGAAGGACCTGACTGGCCTTTTATTCAGGTTTAAGACACACCGGGCGTGAACAGATCATGGTTGGTATATTTTCAGTTGCTGTCTCTCAGATTCCAGGCTCCAGCGTCGCTTTGTCTTTTTTTTTAGAACAATAACTGCTGGTCGGAGTCGAGCTGTACTTGCAGCCCGATGGATCAATGCAAATTCACTGCTAAGAATCAAAAAATTGCTCGTGCAGCTTTTTCCTTTTGAGCCTCTACAGCCTGATGGGAATGCCATCACATGGACCAGTGTTGGTATTCTGTCCAGTGCCAACTCAAACTGCTGATGCAAACAATGTTTTAGTCCACCATTAATGCATGAGTGGGTTGCATTTACTTACAGTCTTTGTACTTTGTGCTTGAACAAGGCCATGCCTGGAGTAGCTACGCTAATATTAATATTAGATCATTAGTTTTGTAGGCAAGTTGTTTTTACACCCAGAGCTGCTCAAACACAAGTCGTAGTTCAAGTGCTAACTGGGCATGCTTTGTTTTCAACTCCTGTTAGCAAAATATTCATCTACAACTGATCGCCTTTCAGAGTCGAGCTAATTAAAGATGTCTGCGACAGCTAATTGTCCTTAGTCGGCACAAAAATTGCTGGAACTCGGTCCCTTTTAATCAAATGTGTGGTAGTAGTTGAAAGTAATAACACATACTTGAAGCAGTAACAGATTACGGCAGATTAAACATACTGCAGTGAGATTGAGCATAGCGTTATTTTTATGGCTTCAACAAAACGGCAACAAAAGATAGTCTTGATTTAACACTGCAGTTGCATTATTTTTTATTTTTTTTTACAAAAGTTCAGTTCTAAATAAAACAAATGTCTGGTGAGACTTATCAAAGTATGACTGAGGGTCCAGCTGCAGCGGTGACTTCTGATCAGGAAAACTGTTTGTGTCCGCCGTCACGGAGCAAAGAAAATCCTGGGAAATACTGTGTCCGTCCATCTGATTCATCTTGAGTTGGTTAACTAGAAAAATGAGAAACGTGCCAACTTCCATAGCGGACTGGAAGCTAACACTAAAGCGCTAACCATTCAGATGACTGTCACACGTCTTCGTCTCCTTCCAGTTGAAGCTGCGTCGACCAGTCACGTCACATGTGCACGCAGTAAGCCAATAACGCCCACAACAGAGAGGAAAGAGCTTGCGAATATTGTTAGTTGACTTAAAGTTGGCAAAACCTAATTTAGCTGAAGCTAATTCTGCCAAGGGTTTCCAAAATTAGCGAAAACTCTAATCCGCTAAATAAAAAGTTTGTTCCACTATTTGCTGTTATTACAAGAATTATGGTTTCTAGTTTTTATATTGCTTAGAAGTACAGTAGTCCTTCATTTATCATGGGGGATCTGATCTGTACCCTGAAGCCCCGCGATAAGTGAAAAACCGTTTGGTAGGAAGTAGCACAAGTAGTAAGTTGTGGTTTATTTTAGTATATATATATATATATATATATATATATATATATATATATATATATATATATATATATATATATATATATATATATGCATTTTGAACCCTCCCACACTCTTGCAATATTCTAAACAATGTTTCTAAACTCTCTAAAAGAGCACACGGTGTCATGATTTCAGCACTGCCACCTGCATGTGCTCTCGGCCACGCCCACTTCTCCGTTCTGCACAGAGATCAGCTGATCAGCTGCAAGAGGAAGCTTATTCTGCAGCTGTGGGTTGCACAGAGGTGCAGCAGGTGCTAAATAATTAAAAATGATCAATTTAAATAAAAATTCCATGCCGACGTGCGGCTCATCCATCAAATCAGCCAATTGTGCATCAGTCTTATTTTGAAAAACCGCGATAGAGCAACAATGCAAAAAACGAACCACAAAGTAGTGAGGAATTACTGTATCGTTTCCTCAAATGACTGGGGTGGCTGAAGATTAATATATGGTAGGCCATCATTGGTTTCACCATCGTGCCTGGTGGTGGATAAAGTTGCTTCCTCTGCTAGCCAAAAAACACCTGCGGTACTTCTGTTCTTGTACACAGTGTTTCTCCTGTACCCACTTGAATATCTTGCACCAACAACCGTAAGGTTTACCTGCATTCCCTGTTCAATTCCAGTCTGGAAAAACACTCATCTGGAAAACTACAAACATTCAAATCCCTCCATAGATGGGGGGGGGACATGGGCGTACCGCTTGTTATCGCCTCAAAGTGATTATTAGATCTACACATACGTCCATGGTGTCACTCCTTTGTGTTTCTGCTTCAGCTTCAACAAAGAACAGAAAAACCAAACCCCTTGAGAAGTTTTTTTAAAAATAATTCACACATTGAGCAGTTTGCATTAAAACCTGCATAAACAGACAGCTTGTGCTTTTTTAGCTTTAAATAAAATGCGTCGTCTCTTGGTTAGAGTTGAAGGCTGCAGACCTTTAAGTAACGGTGAGGGTATGAGTGATGATCATACTGCTGAGGCTGATAACATCATCACGTCTGAGATGACTAATTGATCCCTGGGAGGTTTTAAATTCATAGCGTGGGTTTGTGCTGCTTGAGAGACTGAGATCTGCAGGGATTTCCCAACACAACACGGTATTTTTGAGTTTCAAACCAAAAATCATCTCGTCATGAAAAGGACCAAAGTTGTACGTTAATATACACAATCTCGCACAATGTGTTGAGGATGACTCTCAGCTACTCCCACGCTCCGTATCAGCTAAACTCGCTGAGCTGTAGGCGCTTTTGTGTCGGCTAATGCAGATTAGCTGTGGTGGCCATTTTGAACGTTCACCCAGTGAATACTTTCTGACAGTTGAATGAAATCCGTCTTATGGTGCGTGAGATGTTTTGCTAACAGTACGAACAAATGAACGCGCAAAAACAAACTCATTACTGCCTTTAGCAGCGTGTGTGATTCCTAAATAACTTAAAAACTCTGCAAGTTTCCACCCCGGTGTTGTCATCAGATGAGATCATCGTCACAGAGACGAGTTTGGACATCTTGACAACTTTTCTCCGAAATTTGAGGGGGGGATTGTCACACCTTTAACTTTTTCACAGGTTCCACCATAAATGCACAGTAAGACGTCAACAAGCCTTGTGGCAACTCTCACTGCTCTACACACACGCACACACACACACACACACACACACACACACACACACACACACACACGCACACACTTTCAGGCAGGGTGGAGGAATCCGACAGGTTCAGCTTGGCCCGTTTGTGCAAACATGTTGAGTGTGTGCGTACAAATAGTGCTCAGGGTTGCATAATCAACGCGGAGCTGCAGCCCGGCAGCTAACGAGTGATCGTGTTTTCTAGTGTTTACAGGCGCAGCAGCACAAACTGAACACAAACTTGCTTCAAAATGAGACTTGATGAAAACGTAAACCGATAAATACTGTATTTTTTGGACTATAAGGCGCACTTAAAATCCTTCAATTTTCTCAACACTTGACAGTGAGCCTTATAGTCAGGTGTGCCTTATGTAGGCCTGTCGCAATAAACAATAAACAATAAATCAATTAATCGCATGATAAATTAAAATGATCAACTTCGTTTTCATTTATCGGCTTTATCGTTTCTTCGTGTCTCTCTCTTTCTACTGAAGACACTGGATGACAAAAGGCTTAACTCCGGTGCTCTTCACTGACCCCTCCCTTTCTCTTTTTTCATTAAAATCTGTTTTAACTGTTCAAAATTGTGTTTTTCGATCTTTAAAAGCAGCTAAGCTGAGAAGCTAAGCTACGGGCTAAGCTAACAGGTTGACCTCAGGGAATAAACCTCCGTCTTGTAGCTCCAAAATTCACAGTTGAAACCCATGCCTTCGTGTAAAAAGTTGTTTTTCTCGGCAAAAAGAAACTGAGAATTTGTTTACTGATTTAAAAAAAAATTAAAAGCTTTGTGTGACAAATGCTATGCTAAAGAGCTCAAACTGCACGGAGCATCTGCCATTTTGAGAACCAAAAAACAGGAGCGAGAGACAGCCCATGTCACGTCAAGGGGCCTCCCTCCCATTTTTCTTAGAGACGCTGCTCGCTCCCTCACTATCCATTCTTCGGTTAGTCTTATACTGCCATCCATTGGTCAAAAAAAGGTACTACACACAAAAATTAAGCTACATTTCTTCTTATATTTGACAATAATTACTAATTATTGTAAAATTTCAAACAATATTATTGTTTATCGCAATAATTTCTGAGACTATTAATCGCCCAGCAAAATTGGTTATCGTGACAGGCCTAGCCTTATGTATTAATTCTGGTTGTGCTTACTGACGTTGAACTGATTTTATGTGGTTAATGTGAACGAGTTGAATAAAATTTGACTTATCTGACTGTTTTGTTTCGCGCGCCTTATAATCCGATGCGCCTTGTAGTCCGAAAATTATGGTAAGTGGAGTTAGCCGGTTAGTTCAGATGTGGCCAGCTTTAAAAATCATTATGACCAACTGGTCAGGTGTGTTCAAGGAATATTTTCATTCTTTGTTTTTATTTTTTCTCCACAGAGCGGAGAAAACCGAGGTGCTGAGCGATGACCTCCTTCAGGTAAATGACGTTTATTTTGTTCAATAATAATAAATAATAAAGTGCTATGTGTTGTCATTGTATGTTCCCATACAAAGACTAAATTAGTTCTCTGCATAACCTGTCGCACCTGGGATACACCCAGGTGGAGCAGTGGGCAGCCTCTCCCCAAACTGCTGAAAGGTGACTCCTGCAGCACAGTGGGTGTTATTTTTTTTATTTTAAAATATTTTCCTCATCGTGAATCCACAAGGAGATTAATTTTATTTTGAAAGTTCGGGTTGCTTGTGTGTTCACATCTCTTTGTTTTCTAAGGTGAAATTTTTACAGGTTGGTTTTGTTAAACTGTTTGCAAACTGATGAACAAGAAATTCAGAGACCGTTTTTACCTTCGGTGGTTAACTGTTGAATCCTACATCCCTTTTTACTGCACAGTAAGCAGAATCATTACACGCACTTTGAAAATCCCTACAGCGCAGTCTGTACGTTCTCTGTTTTTACTTCTGTTTTCTGTTAAAGTTGACCAACCAGGTTGTAAATGCAACTGGAGACGTTCTGATTCCATCCATCCATTATCTTTTACCCGCTTCTTCCTTTTCGGGTCATGGGGGTCACTGGTGCCCACATCCAGCAGTCACTGTGCGAGAGGCGGGGGACACCCTGGACAGGTCTCCAGTCCATCACAGGGACACATAGAGACAAACAACCATTCACTCTCTCACTCACACCTAGGGACAATTTAGAGTTACCAATCATCCTAACATGCATGTTTTTAATCTGTGGGAGTACCCGGAGAAAACACACGCATGCACGGAGAGAACATGCAAACTCCACCCAGAGAGACCCCCGGCTGGGATTTGAACTCTCTTGCTGAGAGGTGTCAGCTCTACAAACTGCACCACTGTGCCACCCTTAAGCAAAATTAGACTTATTAATTGGACCTGCCAATTTTATTTAAAAGACAAAAACAAATAGACGTAAAAAAAAAAAATAGCATTATATATCATTATATATCATTAGTGGGTGCTCTGATTTATAAAGAAAGAACTAGTCGGGTTGTGTATTTTCCTGTATTTTGTAAACTGTTGTTTTCACTACAAGCTACAGCCCTGTAGAGGTGAAAAATGTGCCTGCACGAAACTTAATATTTTTTCAAATCTTAATGTAACTGTGATTTGAAGCTCAGAAAGACCTTTCCTCCCCCGAGACTCTGTTGAAGTCATTATGGCTTTGTAGAACTTCTTGATGCCAAGCCTCTCTGCTGGCCTGGAGAACAAACGCTGCCGTTTGAACTTTACTGGGTAGTCGTTCAGCGGAAGTACCTCATAGTTTTCCACTCGGTGAACTCTGGCAACGTTTCTGTTATCTCCAAATCAAAATGCTGCCGTGTGCGCAAGTTGTTGCTATGGGAGTAGGAATACTTTGGCCTGTTGATCTGTGAGGTCATTAAAAAATACAAGTAAAGTGAATATTTGTGACAGAACAGCCGTGTACGCAGGAGGAAAGAGACGAGTAAAAGTTGACCTACGAGGAGGGTGAGCGGCCCTCAGTGGGTCACACGAGTCAGTGTTTTGTGGCCTGCTGCGGTGAACTTTGACCCTTGTGTGGCGTACACACAGTAACACGCACTGATGCTGGGACTCCTGTTAAACTTTAAGACAGAGTTCAGAGGTTTTGAAGTTGGACTCGGAGGAAAAGTTATGAACAACTAGAGAAAGTGCACTTTCTGTCAAAATGCCATGTGAATGCTGCCTGCACAAACTGAACTGTTGGTGAAAACGACCAGAACAAAAGCTGAGATTGTCGAAACAAATGTCAAAACTAGCAAAACAATAATTCAAATCTAAGATGAGCAAATAGCAGCTGAAAGCTATGTTTATGTTTAACCTAAATAAAATGTTCAAGTAAAAAAAAAAAGCTGTAGCATAATCTCCAGAACAAACAAGCTGTGCGAATGCTAAAGTTAGCATTCACACAATTAATATCTTACCTGTTGTAGATAGCTCTTTGAATCAGAGCCAGAGTTTCTTTGTCACTCCACCACATGTGGTACATGTGGTGGAATAGAATGAAATTGTGTACACAGGGTCCTAGTTACATCCAACAATAAAATGTAAAAGAAAAACGGTAACAAGATCCAAGATATGTACTAAGAAAAACATTAACTAAAAATACGCTAAGCACTAACAGCAAAAAAACATTAACTAAATAATACACTAAGCTTTTAAACCCCAAAATACATTACGGCAAAGACTGGTTCATCCCAAAGATCCAGTCCCCCAGCACAAACAGAGTAATGTTGTGTATGCTGTTCAGTGTCAGGAGGGCTGTGATCAGTCTTACATCGGGGAAACTAAACAGCCACTGGCCAAAAGGATGGCCCAGCACAGAAGATCAACATCATCAGGCCAGGATTCTGCAGTCTACACTCATCTCCAGGCCAGCGGTCACTCTTTCAGGGATGAAGATGTTCACATCCTGGACAGAGAGGAACGATGGTTTGAGAGAGGAGTAAAGGAGGCCATCTTTGTGAAAAGAAATTGTCCATCATTAAACAGGGGTGGAGGCCTCCGGGTTCAACTGTTCTCCTCTTACAATGCTGTGATTGCTAGTATCACTCAGCCCTCTATGAGTAGTAAACAGCCATCAGTGTGCTAATGATCCATTGTTATGCTGATGGTCCTTCTTGACCATGTAATCAGCTGGTTTTGGTTGTCAGCAGCAAACTGGTTGATCCACTCTGAGAAGGTACTATTTAAGAGACTGAGCTGAAAACAGCACCTCAGACTGAGGAAGTCTTTCGGATGAAAGACGAAACGTTTCTACAATTTTTATTTTACTTTTTTTTGAATGTCCAGAGGACCAGATTTAACACTTAGATTTTTCTACCTGGATTATTGAGCATGCATCAGGATAAATACACTAAGCACTAGTAGCATAAAAACAATACGCTGAACAGCAGCACGAACATGAGTCTGTGTGAGCAGATGATTATGAATGAACACAGCAACATTGAAACAGATCAGCAGCAACATGATGGGATTTTTCACAGTGAATATTCTGGTTAGATATTCATGAGTCTAACAGCCTCAGGGTAGAAGCTGTTCCTCAGTCTAGAGGTTCTACATGCAATTCTCCTTAACCTCCTTCCCAAGGGGAGCGGATCAAAAAGTGTGTGTGCTGGGTGAGTGGGGTCCTTCATGATGCAGGTGTCCCTCTTCCTGCATCTGGAGGTGTAGATGTCTGTGATGGTGGGGAGGCTGACTCCACAGTCTTCTGTGCAGCCTTCACCACTCTCTGCAAAGCTTTTCTTTCTGCAGCTGTGCAGCCTCCATGCCACACGTTGATGCTGGAGCACAGGATGCTCTCCACTGCACACCTGTTGAAGGAGGTGAGGACTGAGCTTCCCAGACCAGCTCGTCTCAGCCACATGAGGAAGTAGAGTCTCTGATGAGCTTTCTTGATCAGGCTGGTAGTGTTGTTGCTCCAGTTGAGGTTGTCATTCAGGTGAACCCCCAAGTACTTGTAGCTGGAGACCACTTCCACTGCAGATCCTCTTATGTTCAGGGGGGTGGGGTAGGTGTGTTTGTTCCTTCTGAAGTCCACAACCATCTCCTTTGTCTTCTTCACATTGATGTGACGGTTATTCTCCTTGCACCAGCTCTCCAGGTGTTCCACCTCGACTGTAGCTGGACTCATCATTGTTTGTGATACATCCCACCACCACTGTATCATCTGCAAACTTTACAACATGACAGCCTGGATGGGTAGGTGCACAGTCATACATGAGCAGAGTAAACAGGAGAGGACCCAGCACACATCCCTGAAGGGAGGGGATCACTGAATCACTTCAGGGGCATGAGAAAGTGGATTGTTATCGTCCTAAAACCACTCCAGTCTAAAATATTTTAAAGCAGTTTATGTGAACTTTATTTTATAAACATTTAAACTGCAATTATCAGCAGCTAGCTGTAGCTACAACTAGCAGCTTTAGCAACCGTGTTGTCCACCTCCAGTGGGAAGCTCATAATAATTTTGTCAGAATGACTGTAGTGTAAAACTGATGGCTGTGAATTATTTTAATATAACATTGTTTTAATAAAACAGAAATCCACTCAAGTCTAGGCTTTAGCTCTTTTCACTTTGTCAGAAATTAGCTTGGTTCCTCCAATCTGGAGTGATGCAAAGAGCTGTCCACAGCAGTGGCTTTCAAACTTTTTAATTTCCAACCCACAAAATGACTGTGGCCTGTCACTTTATTGTGGGTTTAATTATACAAATCTTGCCAATAATAGCCTTAGTAAACAAGGAAATCATGACAACACAAACATCAACAACCTCAATACTATGTTCCTAATTTAAGACTACTGTTGTCATTTGCTTTACAATTCTGGTGAAGGTATGATCAAAACATTCAGTATTAACTGTAAACTGACATCTGGAGGTTATCTAAGGACCCCAACTTGGCATTTGATGACCACCAGTGGCATCCAGATCCCAACTGTGATTAATCAAACGGTAGTACATAAGAGCCCACGGTGGAAAAACAAAAAAACTCAGAATGTCTTTTCTGGTTTTTAGCGCTGAGCGACGGGGGGGTTTGTGCTGTGCAAGGACATTCCTCAGGCTCCTCTATGAGGAATGCGTTTGTCAGGAGGTCAGAGTGATTCGGGTGTTTTTTTGGCAGCGAGAGATTCTCACAAGTCAGTTTTGTTTTAAAGTGACAAACGTACTGAATCACGTGCATGTACGCTTTACTGACCTGTAGATCTGAGTCAGTATCTGCGTTGTGATTTAATCACTTGGCCTGGTAAAAGTTTTCTTCCTTCATCCCAGCGAGAGCGGAGAGAGGATAATTTTTCCTACCTCCCACCGTCTCCTACAGCCCCCTTCTGTCAACCGTCCGACCTGCCATTCATTGGACACTATGGTTTCCATGCCGTCAGCTCTCTCTCCTCTTGTGTTTCTCATTATGCTGTGCTTCGGTTGAAGCGTTCGTCTTGTTTGGACACGTCCTGCTTTTTAGTTTGGAAAGCCGTCAGACTAGATTTTGTATCCTCGCCTGCTTGGTCTCAAACTGGAGAGTCGGGTTGGAACTGGCTCCATAACGCACTATTTGAATACAACGACAGATTAGATATACTCGTTTGTACTGCGCTGATATCTGATGCTGTTTGAGAAGAAGGTATTTGTCAGTGGGCCAAATGCTGAGCAAATAAAAAATTGAGTCTGTCGCTGTGCTGGCCTCCCTTCAGGTGTGCGCTCACCGACCTTATGATTGCAGGGCAGCTCTTTTATTCCTTCTAACAACCACAAGGACCGTGACATTATGAAAGTGAAACCCTGAAGTTGACTTTCTGTAATCGGATCAGATTTATTAAGAGAAACCTTAAAACTGACTGAATTTTCTCAAATGTGTCCGTTATTATAATAAATCTCTGCCAAGACATCAGTAGGGCTATTCTTAGAACACTGTTATTTATGCTCCTGTCTAAGACAACAAAACATATCAGGTTTGATTGAGAGGTGAGTGAAAATAAAACAGCCCTGATATGAATGTTAGTGCTGTGCAATAATTTAGAACAACTGCATATTTTGAAGCGCAGCTACTGAAAACGCCGTCCGATAGAAGAGGTTCCAGGTCAGCGCAGAAAGACCTCAGGTGGGGGACGAACCTGTGACCTTCTCGCTGTGAGGAGAGATTTGGGCTCTTTAAATAGTTTTAATATCGGTTTAATAAATGAGTGTGGAGGAGAGCTTGTGTGTTCTGTCTGTGGTTTTGGTTTCTTCTCCGTAACTCTAGCTGCAGACTCGGACTCCCCGAGGCTTTCGACAAACGGCTCAGTCCACCACCACCAGCTTGTTGGAGCGTTGGCAGACTCTGAGGCGACGCTGAGAAAATCACAACATAAAGAATTCACTTTCGTAAACCTTTCAATTGGAATGTTTGTGCAGAGTTTTGTTAAACCAAGTGGAGAAATTAAATTAAATTTGATTTTCTTGTTCCTGATACAGTAATCCTTCACGTGGGTGTGTGGAACGTAACCTCTGCTATAGATGAAAAACCGCAAAGTAGGAACGCTATATTTAATTTAATATTTATAAATATTTTAAGGCCCTTCCCACAGTCTTGCAATGGTCTAAACTCTTAAACCTACGTAATTTTAACAACATATGTATATGTACTGTACAGTAACTAGCTACTGTATGAGTATTCACCAGCTCAGTTCCAGTCGGGCTCTGTTCCGATTCTGCAGACCTACCCTGCAGCAACGAAGTCCACCGCCCCGTCCAGTTGATGTGCGCGTGGATAATTGAGCTTCAGGATTATTTGCGGCTTTCCAGTCAGTTTTGTGAGCTGAATATCTAGCGTACATTTGCGTTGCAAAACTTTCCCTCCATTTTAGCAGAAAGCTGCGGCTGGAAAGCACTGTTGGCTTCTGGGTAGTGTAGTTCTTTTGACTGGCATTACAGTATAGGCTTATTGAAAGAAAACTACAAAATGGCGGCATCTGTCTGAACTATTATTTTGTTTTTCGTTCACTTTTTATCCCGTACCGCCCCAATCATGTGAGTAATATTAAAGTTGACAATCGTTGAAAAAACGTGAAAGAACGAGTCCACGAAAGTTGAACCGCAAAGTAGTGGGGGACTACTGTAACTCAATTTGATTAATATTTTAATTTTAAAAAGTCTATTTAACCAAGCATGAGGACATTTTGAGCTCATTTGTCTCTATTGGAACTGTATATTAATCTCAAACGCTCAATCTCAGCCTAGCTCGTCACTTTTAGACAAAAAAAAAAACTGAATATGATGACTCAGCACATTCTGCTTCATGCCCCACATCTTCTGCACTGGTTTCATGTTTAAAGCTTAAATTATGATCAAAGTGCCTCATGTGTTTGTGTTTTAAAATGTCCTGCTGCTCATCTTAGCTGCACTTCAACCAAAAGTTATTAGCACCTATTTCTGCAAAAAATCAAAAAGTGGAGGAAAGAGGTTTTGACCAACGGTCTGTACAAAAGCACCATCAGACGGTAAAAGACAAAAACAAAAGTTTAAGTGCAAAACGAATCAAACTTTTGCTCAACTACAGCACATTTTCTATAAAATGTGCATCTACTCTTTTAAGGAACTTTCTGGGGCACTTCCATATTGCAATCCTGTTTCCTCCTCTTTCACCGGCTCCTTCCAACTGGGTCGGCCAGCAAGTCGTCTTCCAGAAATGGGTTAACCAGACTTCCAGGCGGCCCAAACCCACAGAGCCACACGACTCCTGTGACTCACTGCACATTCCATATTTTCTCGTCGAGCAGGTCAGAGGTCATCTGCTCGCTCTGTTCGCAGTTTTCACTGCTGCCTGGGAAAAAAAAAAAGGGAAGCTGGCGATAACTTTAAACCTTTGGACAGTGAAACTGCAGAGTCGTCTCTGTTCGGTTTTCTGCGTGGGCTCGTCTGTGCTTATTATCAAGGAGGTTCCACATTTTATTTTCTTCTTGTAACTAATTTATCAGGGTGTTTCTTTCCTTACATGTGAGTGTGTTTGTGGGGGCGTGCAAATGGCAAGAGGAGACGTCTTCCCTGCAGCAGCAGTAAAACCTGCAGCTTGAGACATGAGGCTGACTAAAGTCTGTAGATGATCACATTTCTCTTATTGCCTGCTACACCCAGTTCATGTATTACAGTGACATTGCTGTGCCTGGGAATATTTCAAGGTTTTCCTTTAGTTGATTGTGTTCGGAGTGCCTCTTTACTGTCCTCTCACATCAAACACGCTTTATGGACACACACGGACTGGTTGACTACAGTCATAGCACCCACACTGCAGGCCTCTTCTCCTCTTGGCATTGATGACTACAAGTTTGCCTTCAATCAAGTCAGACCATGAATCCGAGTGAGGGATCAGCTCGTTGGTGAGGCGAGTCCGTTGGATCCAGTCGAGGAAGTCTCTTCCAGCTGTGGTCTGGCACGTTGCAGCAGCTGGAGGCTGGGAGGGGTCGTGCGTGTCAGCCGGCGTGAAGCGAACAGGGAGTTGATAGGATCTGCTCAGACGCTGCAGCACGGCTGGATGTTTACACGGAAGAGGAAGTGAAGTTTTCACAAACAGGACGTTATAAAAGTCTGAAGCAAGATCAGCGAGTTAAGATCTCACAAGAAGAAGAAAAAAGCAGTTTGCCGTTGCACTGATTTATTTACAGTTAGAGCCGTTTACGAGTTATTCACAAGAGTTTGATGTTCAAAAATCAACCTAAACATCAGCTGTTTCCTTTATATCAGATATTTGAGTTAAAAAGCATTCAAATATTTGATTACTAAGCTGCCCTATTTATAGTACTTTATCATACTTAGTGTTAAGTATATTTATAATGACATTATGGTATGGTTTAATACAGGGCTATTCAACTAAACTGTTCAGGGGACCAGTAGCTCAGGGGCCGAACATCTAGTTGTTAAAGTCATTATGTGAATAAACCAAGTATTAAAATGATCTATTACCTTTTTAATTTGTTTATTGTATTGCATTGAATCGTAAATGCAATAAACAGAACCCCAAACCCAGAACACCCCCCCCCCCCCCCCCCAATATATTTTTTTAAATGAAGTGGGCCGGATTGAAATCACCGCCAGTTGAATAGCCCTGATTTAGTAGCAAAATGTAATTTAGCCTTTATGCCCATTCTGGTATTATTGTGAGGTATCAGTTAGTTTTTACAATTAAAAAAATCAAACATATTTTTATTTTTTTTAAAAAGAAGAAAAAAAAAGCACTAATCAGTTCCAATTAGGAAAGCAACCAGAACTGGAATATATATTCTATTATATATATGTATATTTATATGAAAAATTATAATTTCCCTGAAGGAATATTCTCAAAAGATCATTAACATTTTATCTCATCTAGTCTAAAGCATAACACTTAACGGATGGTACAAAATTTAACACAAAAAATATTACAAATAAAAATATGCAAAACCAAAAACGACACAAAAAGAGTCGTCAATCTTACCACGGTAATCACCAGATTATTTTACATTTAATTTAAGATGAGATAAGATGGAACTTTATTGATCCTTCAGGAAATTGTTGTGCCAGAGTTTCAGTACAAAGAAACATACACAAGATATTAAAAAAATAAAATGAGAACATAAAAATACCAGAAATTAAGTTCTCAACAGGTCAGGTGCAGACGTGTGTAAAATGTTTTTTGTAGTGTAGGATTAATTTTATTGTCCTATGTGTAGAAAGGGGGAGGAGATGAAAAGTTTGATAGCCACATGGTGGAAGGACTTCCTTCACTATTTAATATTACATATTATTACAGTTTTACATTATTATTATACTTCACATATTTTACTATTTAACAATTTATGATCATGTATCAAATATCTGATTGTTTCTACTTAATGTGGGTGTAAAAACAGCTGATTTGCATTAAAATTTTTAAATTGGTGCATTTATGTCATGGTCATTTATGCATTTGTTTATTAGGATTCAATGGGTTCAGTTCTCAAGTTTCATTCAAAGGGTTAATATCCTGAAAAACAAACAAATATTTGCATAAAATATGTGCTGAAGACAACAAAGGTCCAGTTTTCCTTTCTTTCTGGTAAAATCACAACCAGCTTGAGTTGAGACAAGACAAACCGCATGGACCTGCTGCATGAAGTTTTACTGGACTTCTTGCTCTCACCTGGGTGTTGTACGTTTCTGAACGGGAAGATTCACGTTCTGTTCTGGTTGAAACCATTAAACTGAACTTTTCCCCATCGTTTAGCTTTCTTATTTTAATTTTTGTACCGATCCTCAGATCGAGAAGCGGATGGAGATGGTACGACTGGTGTCGCACAACACCAACAAGAAGCTGGTGTGCTGCCTGCAGGGTCAGCTGGGCACGGGCACGGAGAAGAGACACGTGAGAAGCATTTTGTTCACTGGGGAATCTTTAATCTGCTTCAACATTTAGTTGTACGAGAGGCCCACATTCACAACACAAACCTCAGCTGTGAGCTGATATCCCGAACACATTGCATCTCCTGTTCTTATGCAACGCACAGATAAGAGACACACTCAGGAGGAAAGTATTCAGGCCGGCCCTGTGCCAGCTTCAGTGCACGCAGCCATAAAACCTGACAACGCTGAAGAAATCCACTTCCACTGCTTTACCAGTTACACCTTCCAGCACCGCTCCCACCCAGAAGAGGCGCTGTTCCTGTTCCTGCGCGTCAGAGTTCATATCTCCTAAAACCTGTTTTCTTCTTGTCTCGGTGCAGAAAAAGCTGCCGCTGACCTCGCTGTCCCAGGCCATGCAGGAGGGAGGGGGTCAGCTGGGGGACGAGAGCCTGATCGGGTGAGTCAGCGCGGCATACGTGTTTAAATTAAAATCCACATGTTCCTTGAAGGAATGCATGTCGCCCGCCACCTTTCACACCAGGGTTTCTAAACCGACGCCATGTTGGGTTTAGAAATGACAGATTTATTGACGTCCATTTTTCACATGATTTATTTGCAGTTACAGTATGTGTTGTGAACAACTGTCAGCTACTACCACACCCAGTTTTAGCTCAGCATCTGTAAAACTCACTGCAGTACAGCCATTTATATGCAGGCAAAGCTTGATTAGCTGTGGTGGCCGTCTTGATTTGGGTCGACTTCGAAACATCATTCAATTACACCTAAGAATGGATTCCTGAGAGTTTTGTTGAAGTCCGCCCAGTTGTTCATGAGATATTTTGCTAACAGACAAACAGTGCTGCCTCCGACAGTTAAAGCAAAGCTTTTAAACAAAGATGTTGCACGATGGGTTGTGCTCAAAGTATGTGCTGAGGACGATGCTCGGCTAACTACCACACCAAAGTTTAGATCAGTGTATGTAAAAGTGTCTGAGTTGTGGTCCGTTGTCTGTGGCGGCCATCTTGGATTGGATTAGGTTTGAAAGTTAATTAGTTGTACACGCAAATCATGAAAACGTGTTTGTTCGGTCACCGTGAGAAAACTGACGTTCATATTTGCGTGTATTGTACGTGTGTGCGCAGGAAGATGATGGAGGTGTGTGGGGAGGCAGAGAACCGGTTAGCCTCAGAACTGATGCAGCACGAGTTGCAGATCGAGAGAGACATCCTGGATCCCCTCAACCAGCTGGCCGAGGTAACACGGACATTATCGCTGTTTTTACTCACCACTGATCATTCAGGGTGCAGTCAGTAAAAATGTGGTGTGCAGCTGGAATCTAATCTTTCAAGTGTGCTTCTGTGAAGTAGTAATAAGCAGTTAGTATCTTACCTGTAGCAGACATGAACCTATTTTGTAGAAGCGGAGATAAATTCTTATACAGAAATCAGGCTAAATCCTTCTTGTGCCTTTTTTTTAGCCATATTCAATTCAGTTTATTTATATATCGCCAAGTCACAACAGAAGTCGTCTCAGGGCACTGAACAGAAACATTCATATATAAAAAGTAAGTTAACATTATTTATCTGAGGAGCAGACTGCTGTGAGTTTAACTTCATCGCATACTGTCATCTTGAGCAAGCACGAAGGCGACAGTGGAAAGGAAAAACTCCCTCATGAGGAAGAAACCTTTAGCAGAACCAGGCTCAGGAAAAGTGTCCATCTGCTTTGACCGGATGGGTTTGAGAGGAACAGATACACAATGGCAGGTCAAGAATCACATGTTAAGATAGAAATCCTATCAAATGAAAACTATTCAGTTTTAACAATTCATTTAAAGAAATTAGGTCAATTTTTCCTCCAGTAGTCTAAGCCTATGGCAGCAGAACAAGCCAACCCTAACTATAGGATTTATCGAAAATGAAAGTAGCCGAGTCTTAAAACTGGACAATGTGTCAGACTTATGGACAGAAACTGGAAGTTGGTTCCACAAGAGAGGAGCTTGATAACTGAAATATCTTCCTCTCATTCTGCTTTTGGAAACTCTAGGAACCGCAATTAAGCCTGCAGTCTGAGAGCGAAGTGCTCCGTTAGGAAAATATGGAATAAGATCTCTAATATAAAATGGAGCTAGGTTGTTGAGAGCTTTGTAGATTAGAAGTAAGATTTTAAATTCAATTCTGGATTTGACAGGGAGCCAAAGGATTAGTATTGTGGATTATTAGTATTGGATAATATTAATCACAACAAATTCAAATCATTCTGGAGCAAATGATTGTTATGTTAGCTGGTTTTATAACTCTTCACTAAGAAATGAAACCGTTTAGATTGTCCTTGTTTTCTCAACTGAACAGTATCGACGTCACTCGTTCCAAGGGTGTCCAGTCCTGGCCCTCGAGGGCCACTATCCTGCATGTTCTACTTGTTTCCCTGCTTCAACACACCTGATTCAATGGTTGAATTACTCTAAACCTGTTAATCACCCACTGATTTAAATCAGGTGTGTCACTATCTTAGGTTTGCCACCATCCTGCATGTCTAAAGCATGCAGGATGGTGGCCCTCGAGGGTCAGGGTTAACACCCCTGATACAGTATGCGTTTGCGCTTTTCCAAGGCTGTTATAATAAATTACAATGCTTTAACAGATTTCTGTTGATTGATTACATGAACATTGCTTTCTGAGCGTTGCGGATGACATTTAGATCCTTTACTAACACTGACTGCTCAGATGCAGCTTCACAATGGAAGAACTTTTTTTTTTTTTTCTTCAGTTTTGATTCCAGAGAAAAATGTTTAATGAAGCCTCCTCCCAGTAAGGCTCTTAAATACATGAAATTTATTGGATAGTTGTTTCATTTCAGTTATCATGTGTGATGGCTGATATTTTAGATGTATAATGTAAAACGTACAATGTTTTTTTTTTTTTCCAGTTCTGTCTGGTTCAAAATGAAACAAAAATGAAACAAAATTACTTCTGCATTATTAACGTCGTCACGTCAGTGAAGTTTGTCCCCAGCAGAAACCACCAGCCCTAAACCCTCAAACAAGCGGTTCTTCCTTTTTATTTTCTCAGAAGATGAGTCATCTTTGTCATAATTCCTCTGTTTTATTTATTTATTTATTAGTTGTATTGATTTTGAAATAAAAACAGTCCAATGAGCTCTGGCTGATTAGTCGGACCGATTCAAGTAATGTACCGTAGTAACACTGCTGTTGATCGGTTGAGAAAATATCTACAGACTAAACAAAAGGTCTCGTGTGAAAGTGTAGACATTTAAAATCAGCTAAAACGACATCCACTCGCACGGATGTGACAGTTTTGAGTTTCAGATCTTGTATGCAACTGAACTACAATAGGAAACTGGTTTCAGTTTGATTTATTCCATAAGATTTCACCCCTGTTTGTACAAACTTGTGTAGGTTTTTGTCTGCTGCAGGTAAGATAATGACTACTTCACAAAATCACACATTGAAAAAAAAGTGTGAACCATATCTTTAAGTTGGCAGTAAAGTCTGTTTAATCCAAAGTAACAAAATGTTCTCAGAGGAATGCACCTCCAGTGCTACGATGCATGTGTGATCATGCTTTTCCCACGATCCTCTCTGTTTTTCTGTTGTTTTTTCCCCGCAGGTGGATATTCCTAACATATTCAAGCAGAGGAAGCAACTCGCTAAGCTAGTTCTGGACTATGACTCCGCAAAAGCCAGGTGGGACTGAACGTGATAACGAATAATCCAGACTTTATGACGTCTTATTGTTTTTTTAGTGTTGACTTTAGTTATATTTATTTATGAAATTATTATTTAAAATGGTCTGATTTTAAATTTCAAGTGTTTAACCAGTTCTGTGACCCCCCCCCCCCCCCCCCAGGTGGGTTCAGGCAACAAAATCCAACAACCAGGCCATGCCGTCTAAGTTGGATTCGCTCAAAGACGAGATGGATGAAGCTCTCAACAAAGTAGAAATATGCAAGGTGCCGTTTTCATCTTTTTTTTTTACGACAAATATTTAAAAAACTTGGTGTAAAAAAAACAAAAAACCAAATTAAAAGACTCATGTCTGTGCAGTCCACCTCTGCATAAAGTCAGGAACGTTTGATGAACAAAAGAGGCCTTGTTCCAGCAACAGATAATAAACTTGTGTCATTAGAGGTCAGAGCTTTGTCATCTGGAGTTCATCCACGTCTTAATTAAGAGATTCTCAGGAACGCAGGGCTCAAAGGTAAAGGATGCTTTCGTGTCTGAGAGCTTTTGTTCTTCCTGCAGGACCAGCTCTCTGCAGACATGTACAACTTCGCATCAAAGGAGGGAGACTACGCACGCTATTACGTCATGGTGAGTGCACCGAATGCGGCAAATAAAACCGTTTAACAGCCAACAAACGTGTTTGATATCTGCCAAAGTTTCATCCGTGCGGTTGTTGCGTTCCAGTTATTGGAGGCCCAGGCTGAATACCACAGGAGGTCCCTGGCAGCTCTGGAAGCTGCGATTCCAACCATCCAAATGCAGCAAGGTGAGGAGGTGAAACAAGAAAATCTCGTTGGTTTGATTGTAGGACGGGGAGACGGCTTGGAGCGTTGGTCTTCAGTAACGTCACTTCTGTTCGTCAAGCTGCGGTTACATCTCATCCTTCAGAACACAGGAGCAGATTTTAATGGAAAAGTCTGAGAATCATAAATCACTGCACTGCGGATCATGCAACTGGTTCTGTGTGTTCAGTTTTCTGTCTGTTAGCAAAATATCATTAACCACCAGGTGGTTTTAAGTGCGACTCAAACGATTTCGTTTTGGAGTCATCCAGATTGTAAATGGCTGCCACAGCTAATTGATCATAGCCAACACTCTTAATCGTCTGTAACTCAATAGATTTTACAGATCCTGAGCTAAAGTTTGAGGTGAGTCTTGGCTTGAATTTACACGATCCTGCCTTCACTGATTTTCGCTTTGCACCAATTTTTCTGTCTTTTTCCTCCTTTTTTTCCTAATAAATAGAAATAAGTGGCTGAATTAAAAAAAAAAAATCATAATTTTCAATATTTTGATGTATTTTTTGACATTTTAATTATAAATTAAGCTGAAATTATTTTCAAATGGGAGTGTAAGTGTCTATTCTACTTCCAAAGTATTCCAGCAGTTTTGGAAATTCGTGTTCACGTGAGTTCCTGCAGTTTGAAGTGATTCCTGGAGACTCCTTGGATAGGAAACTTTTTTTAAAGATTTTTTTCTTGTCGGTGAAAAGGCTCAACTTTGACGAACAAAACGAGACATTCTCGAGGGGGGGAGTCAAAATATGTTTCTGTAAATGTTATTTTTTTAGGTTTTCTAAAATGCGAAATCATTTCTTTGACCCAGATTCCTGGATGGAGATGCCAGCGTTCGGCACGGCGCTGGAGGAACACCTGAAGAAGAGCAACCGTGAGATTGCGCTGCCCATGGAGGCCTGTGTCATGATGCTGCTGGAGACCGGCATGAAGGAGGAGGTACACGAAAAGAGAGGAGAAACTTCACTAATGTAGAGCAAAGTTGATGCTTATGGACCAGAATGTGGACACACGTGTGTACCCATAAAACCTAAACGCTCTGGTCTGTTTGAGGCGAGATGAGTGTTCAGCTCTGTAGAAACATCTGCTGCCAGGTTGTGTTCAACTAGTCTTTGCCTACAAGAACTGTGTTTATGTGAACATCTGTTGCCTATTAGCATCTTCACCATTCCTCTAAACGCAGCAGCATCACTGGACTCCCCGTAGTGTGTGGTTTAGAGCATATTTATCAAGTTAAACAAAACCGTTGTGCCGTTCGTCCACAAAAAGACATCTCTTCTGGCAGCTAACGGTTCCTCTCTTGTGTTCGTTACTTCTTCTTTATTTTTAGCTCTTTAAATTTAACCAGAGCTGAACCCTGGTGGACTCAGTCTCTCTAATTGTTCCTTCAAGGGTCTCTTCAGGATTGCAGCTGGAGCTTCGAAGCTTAAAAAGCTAAAAGCGGCGCTGGACTGCTCCACCTCGCAGCTCGAGGAGTTCTACTCTGACCCCCACGCCGTCGCCGGTACGGCCTCCAGCACAGATCCACGACGCCATCTGATCCACATCTTTGTCTCACTGCGTTATTTTCCCCTCACACAGGAGCTCTGAAGTCCTACCTCCGGGAGCTTCCTGAACCTCTGATGACGTTCAGCCTGTACGACGAGTGGATTCAGGCCTCCAAGTAAGACGACACAAATATGACTTTTAATATTCGGCATAAAGGACGCTGTACGCTCTGCATGAAGTAGGGAATCCTGACAGATTGCTTTTTGCTTCTGACAGCTGGTGCTTTGTGTTTTCAGTGTGTCTGACCCTGACAAGAGGCTGCAGGCTTTATGGGTGACATGTGACCACCTGCCAAAGGCTAACAAAGCTAACTTCAGGTATGAGCAACTTCAACTCTGCTTCTTTGTAAGGATGTTATTTTTTTTGTGGTGGACAAAAGTACATTCAAAGAACTTGACACCCCCCCCCCACACACACACACACACACACACACTCTACTTTTATTAGTACATTTTATATTGAAGTTTGGAACTTTTCGAAAAATGAAAGGTTTTGATTTAAGACTGAATAGTTTCAGTTTTCACACTGAGACAAACTTAGTGGTTTAACTATTAGTCTTTTTTATGGTATTAGTAATTGTAGTTATGAATTTGAATAGTAAAACAATAAATTAAGGTTGTAATTATTTACAAAAACTCATAAAACAAGTAAAGGACCCACTTATAAAAACAGGGTTGACACGTTTTTTTAAATGCATTGTTTGGTTGCATCCAAAAATCCAAGGAGGAGTTGCACATTTGGGCTCGTGACGCAATAAATAAATAAATAAATCTTGAGGAATTTGTGGACGAGAGATGCTGCGGAAATCTCAAGCTGGTCCATAAACCTTGTATCGAAGCATCCACCTGCCTCAGATGCTGGAGTAAGAACCAGACGGGCATTCTAAGTAAAATAAAACAAGGGATTTAAGATGATTTTAACTTTATTTTTACTGTCATTATGTATCTTAAAAAGTTTGCTTCAATGAGCCAAAGAAGAAAATATAACGTCTGTTTAAAAAGTCTTAAAATCAGTTTGTGCCTGTTGGATGTAGTGACATCATGTGGTGAAAGTGCAGATTGCAACCAACAATAATTCTCACCTGGTCCTTTTTATTTTTAAGCCTTTTGTCTGCAATAAAATAAAATAAAATAAAAAAGCATGTAAGTCGTGTTTGTTTCTGCTGGTTGTTGTCACTAAATAACAGCACAACTCAATGGATGGCAAAGAGTATTTATTTAATGTGTAGATAAATGAAAAATGAATTTATTTTTAAATTTTCAGGTATTTGGTGAAGTTCCTGGCTAAACTGGCTCAGGAAAGTGAGGTGAATAAAATGACTCCCAGCAACATCGCCATCGTCCTCGGGCCGAATCTGCTCTGGGCGAAGACTGAGGGGTACGAAAACAGTTTTTAGTCTTTATCCTAGATCAGAGGTCTACAACCTGCAGCTCTAGAGCCACATGTGGCTCTTTTTATCTTTGAACAAAAACACAATATAAATAACCACCAAAGAAAAGGCAGCTTTAGAAGTTTTCTTGTCCCTTTGCAGATATACAAATGTCTGTAATAAAATCATACTGGAAAAAAAAGTGAAACATTCATTCATCCATTCATCCATCCAGTTTGTGATACGTTTAAACATAAACACTTTGTTTTGATCACATCGTGTGGTTGGAAGTTGGAATAATAAAATGGTTAAGATGCTAACAAACTACTAGCATAATTGGACCAATATGTGTACTCGGATGGATGGATGGATGGATAGGTAGGTCAGAAGTCCATCACAGGGACACAAAGACAAATGAGACAAACAACCATTCACTCTCTCACTCAGGGACAATTTAGAGTTACCAATTAGCCTAACCACTGGGAGGAAACTGGAGTACCCATACTGGGCCATTTATGCTAGTAGTTTGTTAGCGTCTTAGCCATTATTCCAACTTCCAGCCATACAATGTGATCAAAACAAAGTATTTTTGTTTAAACGTATCACAAACTACGAGTCCCTGAAAAAATGGAGTTCAGCAAATTATGGCAAGCCAATTTGATCAGCTGAAGAATTAGAAGTAGAACCGTAATTAAATCTGAAGTCAATCCAGGTCTCGGCTTTTATTACAAAAAAGCAACGATAAAATCTCCAAAAACTGGTCTTATTTTTATGGTCATGTTATGCTTTATTATTTCTAATAGTTTTTCACTATTATAGAAAGTCCTGCACAATTTAGTGTTTAAATTCAAAATGAAAATAAGCTTTAAACTGTTTTAATGCTTTTCTTGACATGAATATGATCTTATGATGTACTAAATATTAATTTATAATTGCCTAAATTCTATATTGTTACAAACTCTGAGTTATTTTATATCAAGCTTCTACTGCACCTGGCCAGAAATGGTCCACCAGTGAGCTGGAAGTCGCCCATGGGCCACCAGTTGACCCTCTTAATAAACTGATCTTTTGGTTGTAAAGGCTGCAGACTGATTAACCATTGTATATTTATTATTACGTACTGGTCATATGTAGGACGCTGGCAGAGATGGCTGCAGCTACATCAGTTCATGTCGTGGCCATCATTGAACCCATCATCCAACATGCTGACTGGTTCTTCCCCGGCGGTAAAACATCTTGTTATATTTGGAAATAAGAGAAACCGGCAGGAGACCTTTGTCCTGGCTAACTTTACAGTCTTTTCCCTCCAGAGGTGGACTTCAACGTTTCAGGCATGTTCTCCATGCCCAGTCATCCGCCAACGCCCGACCTCGAACCCAACCTGGACAGGAAACGTCCCGGCAGCATGGGGCAGGACGGGGACAGTCACACCCCTCGTAAAGACAGGTACCTGTCTCGTCCCAACCTCAGCCTCAGCCTGACCCGTCCCAAGACACTGAGCAGGCAGGAGTCGCAGGGCCCGGCGGTGTCGGCCCTTTATGTAGTGGCCGACGAGTCCATCACGGTCACCGAAACACCCTCTGAAGATCTGCCCAGTCCAGACTTCAAGTCTGGGCTCTAGTCTCATGGTGTCACTTTGAGTTTAGTTACCAGGACAAGATAAAGGGATGTTTTCTGTTATTGCGCACTACATTTCTGTTGTTGGTGGTTAAACTATTAATTTTTTTTGTCTTTTTCAGCCATCTTAAAAACACAAACCACTTATTCTTTGTTTTCATTGTTGTTTTCTTGTGTTGTGTACTTTTGTGTTTATCTTTTCAAATTTTCCAATTAAAGCTTAGCTGTGTTTGTAGGATACTGGTTTTATGTTTTTGTCTGGGCTCCGTGTTGCATTTTGTTTCTCTGGCGTGGCGTCGCAGTCCGGATGTTTGTTTTCTTCTTCGGTCACTGTTCTGTGGTTTTACATCCTCTTTGGGCTCTCTTTTTTTTTCTGGGCTGGTTTCACTGATGTCAGGAAGTGCCTTCTCTCTCTCTCTCTCTCTCTCTGCGTCTCGCCTCGTTTCTCACCATCTCTTAACGGTTTGCCCTCCTGAACTCTCTCCCCTCCTCCTCCCCCCTCCTTTATAGCCCTGTTAACAAACACCCGGAGCCCACTCCACGCAGAGCCGGCACCGTAATTAGAAAGCAGGCACAACTAACCTCACCCACCTTCCAACCCACTCTGGCCTCTTTGGAAAGCGGGGGTCCTTCCCAACATCCCCTAGTTCTGCCCTTGGCTGCAGAGCCTGGTCTGAGCGGTGCTGGTGGTGGTGTTGGTGGTGATGCGCAGGGGGGTGGGGTCCAGGCAGCCACAGTGCAGCCTCATGTATCACAGCTCAGCGCAGAGGAGAGCAGGTAAGGAGCGAGCCGAGGTCGCGGCCGTACTCCGTCTGCTCGCAGCCAATCAACCGATCTGGAGCCCCGCCCACATTTTAATGTCTGTGTTTGATTGGTAACTTTATTTTTTGATTAAATAAATAAAAAAATCTGAAGCTTGAGAATAACAAACTCTTCAATATCCACCTTTAACTCTGCTTCACTAACGACGATAGAAATGGAAATCACGTTTTTGTTGCAGCTCTTTTTGCTCTCCGCTCTGCTTGTGATGATCTGAGCTCAGTCTGTTCTCGAAGATCTTCCTTCCTGCTGATCTAAACGCTGATAAACACTGCTGGTTTGTTTTGTGGGCTTTTCGATTTTGCACGCAACACCTTACTGAAAGACTTTCAGATTTTTGCATCTTGTTCCCTGAACTTGATCTTTTTAATTAAGTTGTTATTCTTGAGCTGATCTTAGCATTTTAATCATCTTTGAAGAGAAACGTGTTTGTTTTTATAAATTCTGCATGAGTTCTGTTTTTTTGCATCCATGCAGCTTTTGTTAATTAAACTTGAAGAACGAATCATTTCGGTGGTGTAACGTTTAGGCCTGTTGTATTCCCACAGCCCAGCCCGGGAGCACACATCCACACCCCCTCCACATAGAAATGGTTTGATCCATCTCACACCTGGAGCCCAACCCTCTCCGGGTGGGTCAAGAGGACCAAGTCCACATTTGATCCGCAGAGGTGAGAAAAGTGTGTATCAATATCTTACCTGCTGTAGATGGCGCTTTAAATCGCCTCAGTTTGGCTCATTTAAAAAGCCACCTGCAACAGGTAAGACATTCATTGTTAATCCCTCTTACACTGAATCTCACCTAAAAAGATCAGAAACATCACTTTATATTCTACTTTAAAGGTACCAAAAAGCAGGCACCAGCTCCCCCCAAACTGCCCAGCCCCTTCACCCCTCAGTCCAGTAACGCCCCAACAGCCAGCTCTCCGGGTCACCCACTCATCACACCTCGCCGTCACTCCAGCAAAGAGGTCATTCAAGCCCCAAACCACCCGCCGCCGCAGCCTCCTCAAGCCCACCAGGCTCAGGGCGAGCCAGAACCGTCGCCTCCCAGCACTCCCACTCCTCCTGGCACTCCGACTCACGACAGCTCGCACTCCAACTCGCTCCCCTCGTACCCATCTGGGTCTCTGCCTCGCCCCTCCAAGCCCGCTCCGAAACCACGGGCGCGACCCACAATGCCGCCACCCCCGCATCCTGCAGCGAGTGACAACGGCTTCTGCAGCTCTGCGTCAAAGATTATAACAGGTAACAGAGGCGGACTGCAGCATATGGATTAAATAGGAGCTTTTGTTTACGTAATAAACAAAATGGCAATAATGTTCACAATGTTAACATGATTTTAATGATTTACTAGAAAGTTGTCTGTGAAATGGCAGTGTGAAGGCTGAACGAGCTATAACAGAGTTAAAGTTAAAACACTTAAAACGGTAGCTAAAACGAGCAGTACAGAAGCTAAACGCAGCCAAACAGATGTTGAAATGAGCAGAACAATAGATGAAATTAGCAAAACAGATATTAAAATTAGCAAAGTTGTAGCTAAAGGCAGCAAAAATGATGCTGAACAAATGCTTAAGCTAAAATGAGTGAAACAAGCTCAATTTAGCAGAACTCTGTCTTAAAGCAGCAGAACAGTGTTCAAAGAAAAAATACGGTAAAACGATAGCTAAAAGCTAATAGGAGCACAAGGACAAAAATGGAGGGAGAATTTTATTTTAAATAGCCAAATATAAAAAGTTATAAAAACCAAACGTCGCAGCTAGGCCCGTCACGATAACAAAATTTGCTGGATGATTGTCTCAGAAATTATAGCGATAAATGATATTGTTTGAAATTTGACAATAATTAGCAATTGTTGAATTTAAGAAGAAATGTTGGTTAATTTGTGTGTAGTACTTTTATTGACCACTGGATGACAGTATACGACTGTTTGAACCGAAAGATGGATAGTGAGGGAGCGAGCTTCTCTTTAAGAAAAATGGGAAGGAGGTCCATTGACGTGACATGGACTGTCCCTTTCCTTCCTTTATTTGGTTCTCAAAATGGCGGATGCTCGGTGTAGTTTGAGCTCTTTAGCATAGCATTTTTCACACAAAGCTTTTAATTAAAAATCAGTAAACAAGTTCTCAGCTTCTTTTTGCAGAGAAAAACAACTTTTTACACGAAGGCACAAGTTTCAACCATGAATTTTGGAGCTTGGACAAGACTGAGGTTTTTTCCTGAGGTCGGCCTGTTAGCTTAGCTTGTAGCTTAGCTTTTCAGTTTAGCTGCTTTTAACGATCCGAAAACAAGATTTTGGACAGTTAAAACAGATTTTAAAGAGAAAGGGAGGGGTCAGTGAAGAGCACCAGAGTTGAGCCTTTTGTCATCCAGTGTCTTCAGTAGAAAGAGACACGAAGAAACGATAGTCGATAAATAAAAACTAAGTGGATAATTTTTATTTATCATGCGATTAATTGATTTATTGTTTATCGCGACAGGCCTAGTCGCAGCTCACTATTCTCAACCGAGCTGAACATTTTGAACGGCTAAAATGAAACAAAATATACTGAAGCAGTTTGAGTGAGAAAGACGTATGGCAGGAACTAACTGAATGCTGACCGAGCGTTCACTCAATAGTTTAAATCATGCAAATGAGCAAACTTAAGCTTTCTCTCGGAGTGCCTCTGTATTCATTTAGACCTCTGGCTTCTGGTTTCTCTGTCTGGATCTGTGGTGATGAAGCGTGACAGGAAATGTGTAAATATTGCAGATGTCTGAGCTGCCGGCCTGCCTGTGAGATGAGCTTTGCACGGCAGGTAATGGTAAGGTTCTAACTGGCTGCTGCTGGCTCAGCTTTGTTTTTGTGCGTCTGTGTGTGGTTGGAAAACTCGTAGTGCTTGTTTTAGCATTATGTTACTTAACATTCGTAGTATCTACATGCATGTCTTTGCATGTCTCCTATCTAAGGATGCACGATATTGGATTTTTGGCTGATATCCGATATGCCGATATGTTAAAACTTACTTGGCTGAAAACCGATACCGATATTTTTAATATACTTACCTTTGTCAGAACATATTCCTCTTATTTAGGCTTATTTGCTACAAAAATTAACAGCTGTAAGAGCTGGTGACATATATTCAGTAACAGCCATATGATATGCATAGCGCTTTAACTTGTATTAAATGAAAAGTGTTAAATATTATTTATTAGCATTAGTCACCTGCGATGCTGTCTCACTTGTGGAGGCTTGTTCAGGGTTCCTAGCTGCAGTGTGGGATCCTCTGCACTCTTGTGCATGAAGGACAGACTTTTTAAGTTCAAAGTTTTGTCTGTGCCGTAAGACTAATCAGGCTAACACTTGACGTCCAAATGTCTGTGGTAAAACTCACCAAAGTGCTATCAGCTATTAGCTTCTCAATGACGTCAAAAATGACAGCTTTTAACTCGGGTAAGATTACGTTGGAAAAATATCTCAGACTGGGGACGATGTAGTGAGGCTCAACGAGTCCAAAAATCTTCAGAATCCGACATCCTCAATGAAAAACACTTCCACACCGCCGACATTTTGAATTTTCCTCTCTGCCGTGATCAGATCAGGTAGGCACCAGGCGTCCTTGTCACTGGTTTGTCGTACGAAAACAGCGTCTTTTATATCGGTGAGTTATTTTGATGGAATGTCCGATATTTAACTTTAACGCCTATATCGGCCGATAATATCGTGCATCCCTACTCCTAACATGCTTGTTTTTAGTGGTTTGCTGTGAAAACTAACGCTTCGACTTTAAACTGGGTGTGCTTTTACTGTATGTGCGCATTAAAAAAAACGTGTTGCAGATTAACACACCAAGGAAACTCCTAAATCATCTAAAAAAGTTACATTACTGTTTAGCAGTATTTGAGATTTCCTACTGAGAGTAGTCCTTGGTGTCTTATAATGGTAGTAAATGTTTTTTTTTGCAGTGTGTGCAGCTCTTTCTGGGGGGGTGGGGGGTCGTAGATTTATTTGGTGACAGTCCTCTCTAACTGTCCCGTGCAGATGGAGGCCTGCTTCTAAAGGGGATTGGAAAAGCTTTCGTCCCTCAGGTGATCGAGGATCAACAGGAAAAGGGCTCTGCTGGTCACAAGCCCGTCCTGCCCCCAGACCTTCACTTGGACACGGAGCACACCGCTCTGTAAGAGACATTTCTAGACAGTTTGTTTGGCATCAGAGATTAAAGGGGTAACTCCACCAGGCTGCCCGTTTGTTCTCTGGATTAAAAACAAGCCTGCCTTGTAACGTGCTTTACTGCCTCAGAACAGAAGCTGTTTTTCCAGTGTTGACCCAAACCACCACCTTCCTCATGTGGTGCCTCTTTGTTGCAAGTGCTGCTGGGTATTTAAAGCTTGGACTGCAAAGCCTGGATCCACAAGGCTAACTGGACCTCAACCGAACTTTTAAGATTGCTGGAAACCTTTCACCATCCTCACTCGTTTCCTTTTTTGTGTTTTGAAAAGGATTCGGCGATGGAAAAGGTTTTAGACAAATGCTTCACCACAGAGAGCCTTTAATTTTTTTTATATCTACTTCAGCACAATGTGCAGATTTTATCCTGCCTTTTATTTATCTTTCTCCTCAATGTTTTCTAAATTTATCATTCACAGCTGATCAAATGTCATGATCTAAACTGTGCAGGATCAATTAAGGACCATAGAAATGACAGCGTTGGGCCAAAGAAACTTCAGCTCAGATTCAGCTTTTTAGTACATCTTAACGTTGCTAAGGACCAAAAACTTTGGCAAGAGTGCAAAAAAATAAAACGAGGTGCGTTTTTTTTTTTTTTTTTCCTCAACTCATGACTTTCAGCATGTTCACTGCAGTTTCAGTGGGACGGGTTTTAATTGTGTATCTTAATCCCCCTTGGCTTTTATTCGATGTCCACTGAGCAGATCTGGAGACTGAAATTTGTATTTGATGCTCAAAGATTTGCTTTTTATAGTTAGAGGGATATTTGTTTTTCTCTTTTGTAATTGATTAAATCAACTTTGGCCAAATAAAATCAATTAAGTCTTTGCAATTTCGTCTTTTTTTCCCCAAGTTCAATTTTGTTACTGAATCTTGCAGATAATACTGTGTATTGGATTTTTCAACAGAAAGTTAACTTTCAACTTTGACCTTCAATTTATCAGTTTATTTTCATGAAAATGTATACAGTTCAGTACATTTGTCTGTTTTCTAATATAAAATGTGTTAAAATGACAGACCTAATTTCATATGAGACTAGAGACAGGCATGTATTTTAATAAAACAAGAAAGCTATGCATATTTTTTAAACTTGTTCTAGTTTTGTGCTACAAACAGGACATTAAAACAAATCTGTACAAAACCTTTGAAACAGCTACATGAACATGTGCAGCGCTGCCTTTCAGGCCCAGTAGCCGATGATGAAGGCCGTCGCAGAGAGGCAGACGATGAGGTTGATGTTCACAACGAGTCGCAAACGCGGCTTCTCTTCCAGACTACACACGGTCGGCTCGGGTGCCGGCGGAGGATTGTCCTCCTTCTTCTGCTCCATCCCACACAGCCAGCAGAGGACCGCCATAAACCTGGACTGAGTCCGAATGCTGGAAACGGACGAGTCTGCAGAATTTAAGGAGAAGGAAGTCGTCAGCACATACGACAAATATTCAGCAGGACTGACGGTTCGAAGAGAAGCAGACTTTGACCCACCTGTTCTGTGATGACGTGCTTGTCCGTTGACGCTCTGCTCCACCGAGGACACCTGCTCTTTAGGCTTCACAGGGTCAAACCTTGTGAACCACGTCAGACGACTCACCTGGTCAGAAAACAATTCAATGCCAAATGTTCACCTTCATGCCAGAGATTTGGATTAGGATCGTGTCATTTTGGCCAAACTTTGAGCAAAATTGCGCTCAGAGTACGCGTTAAGCATCACTGTCAGCTACTTTGTATAATAGAGTTCAAACCACTTTTCTGTTACAAAGGGTGACTGGCTATGGTGGCCATCTTGAATAGGGCTGAAACAGACACATGGGCATCAACATATTACCTGCCTTTTGGTTACAGCTGATAAATGAACGCAGCATAAACACTCCCTTAAAGAGGTTTTATGCATCATTGACTCCTTGTGGCACTGAGTGGTTGTAGCTGAAGGCCCTGTGACAGTGTTGCCAGATTTGGGCGGTTTTCATTCTGATTTTGTGGGTAAAAATTGCTTTGGGCGGGTGGGGATAATTTGGGTGGATTTGGAGTCGGATCGGTGGTTTCTGAATTAACTTCTTAAAACACATTTCAAACAATCATTCATCATTATTTCATAGCAAAGCTCCTCTGACCTTTCTCCATCACTGATTGGCTATTGTCATCTACCAGGGCACTGATGAGGCAGTTTTAGTGGACACCTCGTTGAGTGGGCTGGCCCGTAGCGGCGGTATGTCGGAGCGGCCTCCATATTGGATGTGGCAGAACTGCCGGTCAACTGATAGAAGGAAATGGACTGAGCTTCATAAAGCACCGTTCTACAAAATGTTTTATGTTAATGCCTGTCATTCAAACACACCAATATATTTGGAAAATAAACCGGCACCAAAGACAACATTTATAACTTAAAGTGATTAGTAAAAATGTTTACTCCTTAAATGTTTAGGTTAAAGGTAAGAACTAAACCAACATGTATTATTTTGAGTGTTTACAACTACTAATGTGTGTAACACTATTACTGTGGTGATAAATATAGAAAAATTCATATTGAACATCTATCTATCTATCTATCTATCTATCTATCTATCTATCTATCTATCATTTTTTTGATTGGGCGTGTTTTTGTGTGATGGGGCGGTTTTTAACAGACTTTTGGGCTGGAAAACCTCGACTATCTGGCAACACTGCCCTGTGAGTTCAAACTAAAAAGCCAACAGGTGAAAGAGGTGAGAGCCGTTTCACCTGCTCTGGAGTTGGCTCTTCTGTAGCCAGGCTCACTCCAACCACCACGGCGAGTGTGATGAAGGACAGTAGGACGGAGAAGTACAGATAATGGACATATTTCAGCACGCCAGGCCTGCTGTCCTCTTCATAACACAGAGGTGCAGGGTAGATGAAGTCCAGTAACATGCGTATGCAGCCCACAGTGAGGCCGACGACGAGGCCCCAGAACGCCCCCTGAGCGACAGAAAATCCAAATGTAAACGTCTGAACCAGAAGCGGAAGTAACTGTTCAGGCTGTCCCTTACCTTCTCGTTCGTCCTCTTCCAGAAGCAGCCCATGAGGAAGATGATGCTGACGGGTGGCTGCAGGTAGGTGCTGATGGACTGGATGTAGATGAAGAGCTGACCGCCCTGGCTGGCCTGGACGACAGGAATCCAGAGCACAGAGACCACCACCAGCACGAGCACAAACACCCTACAATAATTTAAACACCGCTCAGCCAGACTGCTGGGAGAACTGGAACATTTCTCTGATCTTAGCTGCTAAGTGCATCTTCCTGATGCATGCAGTGCTGTGCAAAGGTTTGAATCCAACTTTCATTTCTTTAAACGTTGCTTTCAAGCAGTCAGATTTCTTGTGATCTTGAAGGGTTCTTGATCAAGGGTTCTTCAGGGGTTCTTTAAGGCCTTTCAAGATGTTTTCTTTGGAGTCTGACGACTTTTCCCCACTAAGTTTTAGTCCAAAATATGGCATACTGTGCCCTTAAAAAAATAAAATAAAATTGGAAGTGGAGGATGAACAAGTGTCAAGTCTAAAAACATCAGCCAGTGAACATTATCTGAAAGTCGAGTCTTGAAAAAACAAGAAAAAAATCCAGACAAGACCCGAGAGATGCTTCGTCCTTCAGTTAAGACAAGTTTTTAGTGAATAGCTAAAGAGCTAGCATCGCCTTATTGATGATAAAATATTAATTCAAACTATTATTGGGTATTTGTATAGATTTAAATGAAATGGGAAGAAACTGTATTACAGGCTGCTGGTAACAAAACGTCTAGAGACACCGTTTAAAATGATTAGTAAATTTTCTGTTGTTTTTTACTTAAGGAGAGTTTTTATGCCTAAAAGATTCATAGATCAGAACTAAATGAATTAATGAGGGAAAAAAATTTGTTTCTGGTAAATGGATATAGGCACAAGGACTGGACAGAAAATTAGTGAAAAATCAGAAAAAAAGTTTGCAAGAAAGTTTGACTCCTTGACGGCTAAATATAGATTTTTGTAGAAAACTGTATACACATCTCCAAATACACACAAAGTGGATTTTTTTTCAAACTGTTAGCTTTTACAACATAAAAACATATAAACAGTAATGTAGCTTTTTCAAAATAATTTTTTTTCTCCTTTTAGAGTTTCTGTATGTAGCGTCAATGCTGCAGCAAGGCCCATGTATAAAATATACATTTATTTTTGTCACAAACCTGCCCACAATCATGAGCTCCCATTCGGACGCACGAGATCTGAAACCCTTCCATAAATCCATGGTAAAAATGGTGCTGGCACTGTTAAAGATGGAGGTCAGAGATGACATGAGAGCAGCGATCATCACAGCCATCATCAGCCCCCTCAGTCCTAGAGGGAACGACAGGTTTCACATTGAGAACTCTCGTCAGTGTGAGAGGAAAAACTAATGCAGGAGAGAAGTGTCTGACCTGCAGGCAGAAGCTCCATGACCAGCTTGGCGTAGGCGATATCTGAACAGCCCACGGAGTTTCCACAAATCTGTTTGCATAGCTCCGGGTCTGCACACGCCACTTCATCTGCACGCAGTAACATGCAGCAAAAACACCACAATATAATAAAAGTATCTGCAAAACTAGAGAAATTGCATTTCCTGAGAAAATGCCATGTGGATGCTTATTGCTGAAGAATTTGCTGAAAAACAGCTGAAATTAGCTGAAATGGAAGAACAAGCCTAAGTTAGAAAGAACACATTTGCTGAATTAGGTTTAAATAAGCACCAAAATTAGCTTAAAAAACAGTTGAAATGATAAAAAATAGCTGAAAAGTAGCTGAAAAGACAGAATGAAGCTTAAACTAGAAGGAAATGAGAGGAGCTGAAATGAGCTAAAAAATTTGGAATTAGCTGAAAAAGCTAAAATTAACAAAAACACAGCTAAATAGTAGCTGAAATAGTAGAAATAGCTGGAACTTGCAGAAATAAGCTGAAAGGAGCATAACATGCTGAAATTAGCAGGAAGAAGTTAGAAGAACAAAATTGTTGTAGTTAGCAGAAAGAATCTGAAAGGAGCACAAAACAGCTGAAATTAGCTGAAATTAGCTGAAAAACAGTTTAAATTTGCGCAAGCAAGCTGAAAGAAGCTGAACCAGAACAAAATGTGAAAGGAGCAATAAAAAGTGTAAAAAGATCTAAAGATTTGAAGGATGTAAAATGAGCTCAATTCATTTTCTAGGAGAAAAAAATGGCAGAAAAGGCTAAACATGTCAAAAAGCTAAAGTGGTACCAATACTAAAAGTCATAGCAGGATTGTCCTGAAAGAGCTGAACATTTTGATTTATGATTTGTTGAAACAGCTTGAAAACTGCGGGACGAGAATCACGCCAACAAATGGACAGAAGAAAAATGGATCCCAATAGAGTGAACGCTTCATGAACATTCACACATTAAGTCCTAATAAACATCTTGAGAGTGTGTACCTGTGTAGAGGATCCTGCTGATCATGCCGGGCAGCATGATGGCAAAAAAAGGCAGGACCTTCAGGTAGGCAGCCAGGAGGGAGCCGCCCTTCGCATGAGTCAGAGTCTTGGCAGCCAGAGAGCGCTGAACAATCACCTGCGGAGAATCCCAACCACAGCCGACGCTCAGATTGTAGTTAATGAGCAACAGAGATGGTTTGTTGAGTGGGAATTAGAATAAAAACCGTAAACTTGTTACCTCTTAACTGATAAGACAGTAAATGACCAGTAAAAGCGAGCACGCTGGTCTCATGTTGGACTTGTAAAACAGAAAATTTCTAAAGAAGCCAAATGTGTCAAGTAGACATGATGGAAGTTATTAGGATGAACATTTCTGTTGAGTCTCAGATTAAGATAAACAAAATGAAGTGAACTAAAAACTAACTAGAGAATTTGCATTTCCTGCAAAAATGAAGTGAATGCTTAGAATTCAAGATGTTTTCTGTTATTAGACATCAAATTATTTAATTTTATTTAAATTCCAGCAGCCTGTTGGAAAGATATGTAATGCTTTCAGGTTGAATTTTCTTCCATATTTCCTGCAAAAGTGTCTTGTGTGGAACAGGATTGGTCTTTTTAAGGTTTTTTGACATATTTTCTATTAGCTACATGTACGTCCAGCGCCCTGTTCTTCCACAGCGATGTCTGTGTGTCTGTACAGAACGAGGTTTTAAAGTATGGTGTAAAAAAAATAAAAGAAGTTATCAGAAAAAATAACATCTAAAGAGTTCATGCAGATTTTTTCTAAACTGGTTTCTATAGAACAGCAATGAACAGTTACTATCTTACCTGTTGAGGATATATAGATTTGTGTAAACTGTATTAAGTTAATCTTTCATTACAGTCTGTTTAAAAATGTTTGGTTATTTGGGCAGAAACATTATAATAATCCTGCAGGAAGTGCTCAAGAAGCACATGGTGGTGATTTATTTAAAAACGACAACAGCTGAATTATTTATTTTTCATTTCCAGATCCATCGCAGATGCAAACACACACAGAGAAGTTGATGCTAAATGAATGGAAAACATGAATGTAATGGATGTGTACTAAGTAAAATAACTGCAAAGATAAAGCTCTATGTCATGTACAAAATAAATTAAAGTACCAACATATAGAAAAAAAGCAAAAAGTACCTGATCAGAGCACCAGTACCACATGGAGGGGACTGACATGCCAATGATGACGCCAGGCCAAGGCAGGTCAGAGGTCACCGGGTCTCTAAAGATGTGGAAGGCGTCATCTCGAGGGATGCCGCAGGTGGAGTTGGGCATGCGGATTGTGGGGATGGCGTTGGCGTATCCCTGCATCAAAGCGTTCCAGCCTCCAACCTCAGCAAAACCTGGACGGGAGAGACAAAAGGAGCTGGAGCAGGACATAAATCCACCAGAGGAGGTGCAGGGCGATTGTGCTCATGCTTTGACTGACTGAAGCCCATGAGGGTGAGTGCTCCTCCCAGCATGATGGCAGTCTGAGCAGCGTCGGTGTAGATAACTGCAGCCAGACCACCTACAACACATGATGCGATTTACACAGCTGCAGGGTGATTCTCGCAGCTTTTCCAGGAGGAGAGCTACTGGTTTGAACATCACTAAAGAGGAGAGGTCACCTGCTACAGTGTAAAGAGCAGTCACTGATAACAGCAGCACCACAGCCAGGTAGATGTTCCATTTTAATGCAAGCTGAATGAACACTGCACCTGCATACATGTCCACCTGCACAAAACGTAACACACAAGAGCTTATAGTTTACTGTCCACAAAGGAAAAGTTCAAAAAGTCCACAGATATGCACTAAACACATTTTTTGCCATACAAGTTGCACCTTTTTGCATGCATTTGCAAGTCCTGCGACTTATACACCAAAGCAACTAACATACACCCCCCCCCCCCCCATATTTTAAACCCATTTTTTGGCTGAGATCTGACGATTTCCTCATTCTGACATAAAAATTTTAAACATTATCATTTTCAGCCACTAGAGGGCTCTCGAGAAGTATGGCAAGCCAAGTGTCTCATTAATAGGGAAAAGTGGCTATTAATGAGCCACTTGGCTTGCCATACACAACCGTCTTCGTCTCACTCAGGAACTCCTGGAGCAAACTTCAAATCAGCTGCATTTTGCCGCGTCACACAGGCGAAATGCAGCTGATTTGACTATGAAAGTGCATTTATTAAGGAAAAGTTCAACTGAGACACACATTTGCTATAAAGTCGAGCAAACAAAAAATTATTTTTAGGTGGTTATCTTGTTAAATTTCGAAGAAACGCACAGCAAGTCGTCCCTCTGCGCGCTCCTACAGCCGCAAGTCGATTTTTGAAATGCAGCTGATTTGACCATTAAAGTGCATTTATTAAGGAAAAGTTCAACTGAGACACAGCTTTGTTATAATTTTGAGCAAACAAATAATTGTTTTTAAGTGTTAATCTTGCTAAATTCTTGTTAAAAGTCCTCCCGTGCATGCTCTCGTGGCCGCCATTTGGCAGCCAATCAATTTTTAGCACAACACCGGCCCACATTTCCAGGTTGTCAGCGGCGACGCATAATAGATGCGACTTATAGGGCGAAGCAACATTTATTTATTTATTTTTTCACTTTATTAGGCATTATTTATTAGATATTTGGACTGATGCGACTTATACAGTGGTGTAACGTGTACGGCAGAAAGTACGGTATATGTTGGTTTGTGTCGTACCGATATTTTTGTAAAGATGTAAATAAATAAGGACAGCACGGCTAAAAATAACTGAGTTCTTCTTCCACCAAAGCGCCTCTGCAGATACTCTGGCATGGTCGTCACCTGTGGAGGAAAGATGCTTTAAAAGAACAAGAAATGCACACGTGCATGCACATGTGTGTAAGTTACTCACCCCTGAGGAAATATAAATGGGCAGGAAGAGCCACCCCAGGAGCAAAACCATAAACATTCCCTGGTTTTCAACATACAGCAACATGTTAGTGTTTTTTTTTAGAACACATCAGTGTGTTTTATTAATTTCTGGCTCTCTTACGTTCCATTCATAAGCGATCGCCCCAATTCCTGCTGCAGCTCCAGAGCCGGCCAGTCCGATGAAATGTCCACTGCCGATATTGCTGGCGAACAGAGAAGCCCCCACCTGAACACAGATTAAAGAAACTTGATTTTTTTAAACAGCAGAACATTACCGTATTGTTCAGACTATAAGGCGCACTGGATTATAAGGCGCATTAAGCAAAACCAAAACATTATGACAGATTTTTGTGCGTCGTGTACCACATGAAATCAGTTCGAGGTCAGTAAGCACAACCAGAATTAATACATACATTATAAGGCTCACTGTTGATTTTTGAGAAAATTAAAGGATTTTAAGTGTGCTTTATAGTTTGAAAAATATAATATAGTTAATGTGGCTTTTACCCTGAGATTATTTTGCAGTTATGAAATCAGTATTTGTAGATTTTTATTTTAACATAACGTCTGACTCACCGGCCACCAGGTCATACTCTTCCCAGCCAAGAAGTATCCATCCACAGTGCTGCGCTTCGTCCTCCACATAGACTAATGAAATAATAGGAAATGAATACACTTTAGAATAAAAGTTATGTAAAGCAGTTTAAAGCATAATGCAAAGTTTGTTCATATTCATGTTGTTTGATTGATTTAGTGGAGCTGCTGTTTCCTCATCTGTCCTGCAGGACAGAACACAGCTCGTGGTTTTATTTTAAACTTCACAGCTTTATGTTGCCTCAGTCTCAGATATGTTTTAGATAATTATTTTAAATAGTTTTAAACTGCTCTATGAGCAGAAATCAATCAATCAGCTTCTGTTTATGCTGTAAAACCACCTCTCTCTGCTTCATTTGGGTCACATAGAAAGTGTAGAAGCTGCACAACGCTCGTCTCATTCGTGTTTTATTGTTTTTGACTAACTAGATTTAAGTTTAGAGTCATTTTTATAATAAAAAGTTATGGAAATAACTTTTGGCACATTATAGTAAAAGATCCCAATAAAGCAAAGTTTTTATTTGCATTCATTTTGAGATTTATTCGAACTTTGTGTCGATAATCCAGCAGGAACGTGAACTCCAACTGTAAGAAAATCACTCCCTTTTATCCCTAATAAATAAAATTTATCAAACAAATCATGATTCCCTGCATCACACAACTTATCTACCTTTTACATGAAAACATGATTAAAACGTTGCTATTTTCTCTAAGGTTTTGCACAGAACAGAATAAATTCTTATTTAAAGCTCTGCTGGTTTTTGCAGCCCAGTAAAGAAAATTCAAACAGTTCACGGCAATGCAAAGGATGGATAAACAAACCAAAAGTTTATTTCTTAAACCTAACATGCTTACCCAGAATCCCACAGCCAGCACCAGTAGAAAGTAGACCACCAGCACCACAATGTCCACTGTGACCAGGGTGCTGCCCCCCCGAGGCGGCGCCTGAGTTGGGGGTGAACTGGTTGTTGCTCCTTCAAAAGTCATCTGGAAACCAGTTAATTAAACAAATGTGCTGAGATTAAATAATGAGAACATTTGATTTCATCATTTATGGTTGTAAAATCTACCAAACACACTTTAATTTCATAAAATAGTAAATAAATGACTTTTCTGAATCCAACAAGGTTCAGGCAGGCCATCTGGACGGTTTCTTTTTTCTGTTGAGATGCTTCATCCGAAGGACTTCATCAATCTGAGGAGCCACAAACAAACTGAGTCCCACATGCCAACCAGTTTGATAAGATGGCTTCCAGGGCCCGCCCTCTCCCCGTTGACTCCTGAAGTCCTTTGGATGAAGGGCGAAACTTCTCAACAGAAAAAAGAAACCGTCCAGATGACCTGACTGAACTTTGTTGGATTTTCTACCTGGATTATTGAACTTTGTTGGATTTTCTACCTGGATTATTGAACTTTGTTGGATTTTCTACCTGGATTATTGAGCACGGACTTTGATGTTTTGAACCTCTTTGGCTGTGGCTGCCTCAGAGTTGTCGAAGGGGGAGAGGGTGGGCCCCGGAAGCCATCCTATCACCAGCAAACTGGTTGGTCCACTATGTGAGGATGAGGCTTGTGGGACTCAGTTTGTTTGTGGCTCCTCGTTCTGATGAAGTCCTTTGGATGAAGGATGAAACGTCTCAACAGTAAAAAGAAGCCGCCCAGATGACCTGACTGAACATTGTTGGATTTTCTACCTGGATTATTGAGCATGAACTTTGAAGTCTTTTCAGATGATCTAACTGTTTATGGTCACGTTGCATGAATCCATAATGACCAGTTAATTCATTAATTCACATATATTGAATACTGGCCACACTTGACACTTGAAGCCCAAATGTTAAACATATCTTTACTCAAATCTAAAACTTGACAGTAACAGCTCCAGCTCAGCCCCTCACCGGCTTTATGTATAAAATAATCTAACATATAAAGACACACTCACCTTTTGTTAAATCTTCAGCGTATCATTCCACCAGCTCTGCCTGGAACCGTCTCTTGTCGCCCAAACAAAACAGCGTGTCACTAATTACACAAAGACAACCGCAGGAATCTCGGTCTTGAGATCAAACTCCACGTCCTCCACAAGGTGAAGTTAAAATGTAAGAGATTACGACACCTCGCCAGGAGGCGTTTTGTCAGTACGAGACTAAATAATCTCTGAAGAGAGTTTAAAAATTCATCCAAATCACACAGGAGGTTTTCAGGCAGCGATTAGAAGAAAACATAAAGCAGCGCAACAGGAATGAATGAATGAATGTGTTCGGCCTGCCCAGGACAGGAACACACAATTCTGATTTATCTGATTTACCTGCAGGGAGGGCAGATAAACTGCTTGTAAAGGAACATAAAAAGGTTCACACAATAAAAAAGGTTGAAGGAAATGAAGTCATGCATGCAATAGTTCTTCTTAAATTACACCAGTACATCCTCTTAGGAGAAAAAAATTATTTTTTATTGTACGTATAATATATATTTAAAGTAAAAAAAACCAAACACATTTTATATATATATATATATATATATATATATATATATATATATATATATAAAGAAGTAAAAATAGTTTTCCTTAAATTGAAATTTATTATGAATCTTGGTCTTTCAACGCAATTGATACAATTTTTAGAAGAAGGGTGCAGGAGAGCCCTCATGCCCTGAAGGGACACACGCAGCTGGATATGTCATGGATTCCTGGGGTGTTTGGAAGATGATGTACCTGTCTGTGCTGTCTCTTGAAGATGTAGAAGACTCATAAATAATTGGATTTATGATAACAGGGTTTCTGTTTTTTTGGAATCAGTAGATTCCTGGGATATCGACTAATTAGTCGATAGTCGGAAGTCGAAAGTCGGCAGCAGTTTTGGCAATAGTAAAGCTGCCTGCCTTATGTGAAGGATTACGCTGAGCTTCGAGCACTCAGACTAATATGTTTTGCGAGATGAACCGTACGCTGGACGCGATTTCTGAGAATCGTGGGCCACTTGCAGCTCCTAGGACTCGCCGGCATGAAGGAATCGACCTTGGAGAAGGCCATCAAGCACGGACCAGCAGAATGTCCACAAATCTGGCTGTTTGGATTTGCCATTGAGTGTATCATCAGAACTGCAGGCAGACATTAAATCAGTAGAGTCGGCCTGTCCAAAACAATTGTTTATCTGAGCCTCCCCGCTGACCTTGAGGCCAACTTATCTCAAAGCTCCTGGTGGATATGTAAATTAAAAAGCTTTGCCTGCCGGTGTGAGAGATCCTTTTTTTATACCATGTCTCCTCGTGTTTTTCTAGCCCTTTTCTTGTTTAAGCGATAAGAGCAGTGCTTCATTAAGCAGCAGCCCTGGTACACTTCCATCTATCCTTCAGACGGCTGTACGGAATGAAATGTTGCTGTACTTAACTGTACAATGACAATAAAGTGATTCTGAAGTATAGTGAGGTCCTTTTTCCTTGCATGACAAAACTTACTGGTGCTTGGACTTAGAGTAAGTGTTGGAGCCAACTCTCAGCTACTACCACACCAAACTTTAGCTCAATATGTGTAGAACTGACTGATTCATGACCATGTTTGCATTTGCTTAGTTCAGTTGGCTGCGGCGGCCAACTTGAACCGAGCCGACTTCACACGTTAACCAGTTGTAGATGTATATCCAGTGACCACTTTCTGCGAATTTCATTACAATTCACCCAGCCATTCATGAGATATTTAGCTAACAGACAGACAAATGCACATGCAGAGAATTACATGTATGTCATGGTGGTGCAGGCAATAAACAGCGAAGGCAGACCCAACACAAGTCTTTATATCTGTTTAAATTATTTTGTTACAATACAAACTTTACACTTTATAGATCCTAAATGAACAGCAGTGCTTTAAATGTTGCGTTTAAGCTGAAATAAATAAATTAGACCAACATATCTTTAGAAAATAAAGCTTAAAATACTTACAAACTTTGCTCCTATAGTAACTCACTTTAGCAAGTGGTCTTGAAGGCTTAGTTTGTTTTTACAGAGGCTCATCTGAGAAACTACCGTATGCTGCGTTATTTGTCTGAAAATCTGGTTACACCGTAAATCTAAGGATATTGTTGCCCTCTTAGTGGTTTAACACCATGCTTTGCACAGAAAACACATTAAAATGCAATCAAATATAGTAGAATTAAAGAAAAAGAAAAAAACAGAACAACAAGAAGGTGGTTCAGATACTCCAGCATATACATCTCATTCTGTAAACAATATATCTGCGTTACACTGAAGTGAGAGCAATATTCAGCAGCTAAACATGAACATATTGCATTATAGGATCCACATCACCTGCAATCTGGTCATAATGTCCCAATAACCGGAGACTAATTTTATTATTTTCTGTAAAAACAGACAGCTTGTACCATCTCACACACATTGGGGTTCATGTTTGCAGGTTGTAAAAATGAGAAGTACGATACAAAACAGAGGGTTAGAAACACTGCGTTGAGTAAAACTACCTGTTGTCACAGGAACTGATGAAAATTCACTTAAATAGTTCAGATCGGGGTTAGGAATGAAGGCTATAAACAATTAATATCTTACCTGCTGCAAAGACATGAACTAGCCTTTAGTTCGTCACTCCGGTCAGAGTAAAACAATTCCTGCTAACAGCTCGTTCAAAGAGGCATCTACAACAGGTAAGTTACTAAGTGTTCATAATGTTTCCACACAACCCCACTTTAAAAGAAATAAGTGCAACACTTCATTAAAAAAACCTACGTTACATTCAACGTGGTGGGTGTCTGACAAAAGTAAACATGTCAGCTAATTAAGAAAAGCTGCTTTTTTCAAAACACTAACTTTGACAACACGTTTTAAATTAAGTGTTTATCTGTTTCAAGATGAAATATATCTATGTCTTAATACGACACAAAGACTTCCATATTTAATTGTCACTCTGCACTATGGGTGCTCAGAGAAATATCACCTAAACTAATTAGACTATCTTCCAAACAATATAAATATGCTGAAAATGAAACTGGTTGAGTTCTGGTTACTGTTATTTTTTTTTATTAAATTAAGCTTTATTGTAGGTTCACACCTAAAAAATGACACTGATGCAAACCTAAAGTTTACATCTTTAACACTCTGTAAAATATGTTTATCTTTCTTTTAACCATCTCCTGATTTCTTTAAGTAAAAATGAAAAGGTTTATTTAAATATTGCACTTAATGTGTGTTTGTGCATGTAGTGTATACCTCAAATGTGTGTGTGTGTGTGTGTGTGTGTGTGTGTGTGCACACATTGTTTTAGGTTTTAGGTGCTGGAACAGTCCAGTATTTGGGGACCTCCACACGTGTGCTACCAGGCCAGCGGGGAGGCCAGGCGTGGACTTCTGGGGCTCTTTGGGTTTTCTGTTCCTTGTTGATCGCTGAGAGCTCTCTATAAACAAAAAGAATAAACTTTTATGTTTTCTGTAGCTTTATAATGGCTCAATATCTAATTAATAAATTTGTCCTTATTGATAAATGTTTTTTTTCTGCGTGAAACTGAAGCCCTCAAAACTGCTGCAATATCTGAAGATAATTCTAAAACTTTAGGTTTTAAAAATGCAAAATGTTGAAAAAAACTATATCAAATCAGAAAATGTGGGATGTTCATGAAAACATGAAAGTTGTTCATCTGTAACCTTTTAGGTTATTACTAGCAGAGGGGACAAAGAAAACAAAGTGCTTTTGGAAAAATTAGATACTGTACTTTTCGGACTATAAGTCACATCTTTTTGCATAAATTAGCAAGTCTTGTGACTTATAGTCCGAAGCAACTAATTTACGTTGTTTTCCCCCATATTTATAACAATCTTTTCTGAGATCTGACGATTTTGTTCATTCTGACATGGAAAATATTGAACACTACCATTTTCAGCCATTAGAGGGCCCTCGACTAATATGGCAAGGCAAGTGTCTCATTAATAGGTAAAAGTGGCTATTAATGAGACACTTGGCTTGCCATACCAAAGCCACCTTTGTCTCGCTCCAGAACTGCTGGAGCTTCATTTCACCGCACCGCCCACGTGAAATGAAACTGATTCGACCATTCAAGTGCATTTATTAAGGAAAAGTTCAACTGAGACACACCTTTACTATAATGTCGAGCAAACAAATAATTGTTGTAAGTGTTAATCTTGTTAAATTCTTGTTAAGAGTCCTCCTGTGCACGCTCCCACAGCCGTCATTTGATTTTTGGCACAACACCGGCCCATGTTTCTGGGTGGTCAGCAGTGATGCATAATAGATGTGACTTATAAGGTGAAGCAACTTATTTATGTTTTTTTTCCCACTTTGTTAGACATATTTGGACTGATGTGACTTATATGGCGGTGTGACTTTTAAGGCGGAAAGTACGATAAACAAAATACCAATAATAACATGTTTCGTTCTGAGTATAGTAATCATTTGAATAATAAACAGCTTTAAGTTACTTCCTTACCTCAAACTTGCTCATGAACTCAGCAAAAATACCAAAGAAAGCCTCCGAGGAGGTGGATTTGCCGTCCTCTCCAAAGAACGAGGCGGTTCTGCTGAATTCCTCCGTGGCTCTCTGTTGGAGCGACTCCAGAGACTGCAGAGCTGGGTGACTGTTTTCCAGGAAGTTCTGTATACAGAAAGTCATGGATCTCAAAAACAAAGATCTCAATTCTTCTTCTTTTTGTTTAGTTTGAAGGATACGCTCATGACGACAGCAAAGCGATCCTCAGCGGTCGCGGGCATCTTTTGACAAGCCGAGCGTATCTCCTGAATAGTGGAATGAATGTCGTTCACGTCTGACGTGATAGTCCTCTGGTTCACTAATAAAGACGTGCAGGTTTGTTTGCAAAAAGGTAAAATAAAACAAAAAAACAAAGAATATTAAAATCAGAAACCTGGTATAAAAAGTGCTGAATAAAGCTGGAACACGCAGTTTGTTCACTTGAGTTAAAACGTTAAATGGATCTTCTTTACCTTTCGCTGCAAGAGAAACCGTCGTCAGATCTTTGGAGAAATCCAACACGTCTGGAAAATGCTGACACAACGATTTGACCAGAATGTGCAGAAACGTCGACTTCCCATCGACGGTTTTAGTTGTGCTCAGCTGAGGAGGAGAAGTGGAACCATTGAAAGGATAAGGACAAAATAAAGACGGGGACAGATAACTGTAACAAACAAAACATTTGGTTTTAGTTGTTTGTCAAATTGTGTTTTTAGCGTGAAATGAACAGTACCTCTGTGAGAAAGTTGATCTTAAAGCCGGTAGTCTTGTTGTTTTTAGGCTGGCTGTTATTCAGATAGTTTCCCATCGCTAAGACAAACTTAAAGGTAAAAAAAAAAAAAAAAGATTAAATAATGACACAGCAAACTGTATCTGAACTTGTTCCAGTTCACAGAACAGAACGAACACTTTTCCGTTTGTCTAATAAAAAACGGCTCTCTTATTTTTAGTTTCGATGACGTCACCTCTAGTATCTTAGCCAGCTTCTTGCTGGTCTTCAGCTCAGCGGAGGCCTTGATGATGCAGTCGTATGCCCCCCTCAGCTCCTCCGTCTTCTCTTGGAGAGAGCACTTGAAGAGCAGACTCTGCAGACGAGTCTTGAACTCTGGGACAGATAACATCTGACAGGCAACACCTCCCATCACCCATTTGTCGTCATAGCAACAGGAACAAAGCCTCTCTGTACCAGGACTGTACCTGCAGCACAAACTGATCCGGTTCGCTGAGTTTGCTGGGGTCCTCCCGGTACTCTTCGTATTTTTTCATCTCCTCTTCGTCAGGAGCGTACAGCAGCAGCTGCATGATGTGAGCCGGCTCCAGTCGCTCTGTGGCCATGCTCATGAGAACCTGACGTAGCTCACCAGGAGAGAGCTTCAGGTGGGCAATGAGGATGGCTAAAGGAAGACAAAATAAAATAAAATTACTAGACAAGAAGAAAAGGTTCTGGGTTTTTTTTTTTTTTTCCAGAAGCTAATAAAGTTTTAAAATAATAAATAGAATAGACCAGGGGTCTGCAACCTTTACGATCGAAGGAGCCATTTTTGCTCCTTCCTGCACTAAACTATCCAGAGCCACAACAACCAGCTGTGATTATCAAGTGGTGGCACTTTATGGTTGCTGGAGGGTTTTTTTTGTGTGGCCACATTATAAAGCTAAAAACATGAATAATTTTTTACTTTTTGTTGGATAAAAATATCCTCTATTCATCTTACTTACTCAAAGAAGCCACACTTGAGGACTCAAGTAGATTTTTAACCAGTTTTACTTGTAAAGGCAGACTTTCACCACAGGTTACACAGATGTGCAGACGTTCTACATGCATGGAGAACAGACAGGAGAATCTGCACCGGGCAGCGTGCAAGAATTGTTATTTATAAGCTTATCAGCTCTCGCTCAGAAGCCGACACGGATGACCTTGGACATCCAGCTGTACATGCAGGATCAAATCGGCTTCTCATCTTTGAGAGAGAAAATAACTCTCTGGTAACTCAAACACACGGTTCATGGGCAGTTTACATTCTCAGCCATACTAGTTAAAACATCCATAAACCTCGATCAAAAATCCCCTGATATGACCACCCATTTATGGGTATTTATTACATTATCAATATCAACGTTGCAAGTAGAGATGCTATATGCATGTGGTGGAATTATATTTTTACAATTTAAAACAAAAGAAAAGACAATATTCTTGGAAAGAAGAAGAAAAAAATGGGTATTTTTAATCATTTATTTTAAAAATAAAAATAAAAAAAACTACGAACTATGCAGACCTATGTGATTTTTTTTTTAATTGTGGAAAAAATAATTACATATTGAAATAAAGCATGAAGTTAAAGTGAGTATGTTTGACTTCACATATATTCACATACAGTAGTCCCTCGCTACTTCACAGTACCTTTATCGCAGACTCGCTTGATCGCGGTTTTTCAAAATAAGATTGGACATGACACACAATCGGCTGATCGATGGATGAGCAGCATGATCAGTATGGAATTTTTATTTGAAATAAATTATTTTAAATTATTGAACATCTGCTGCACCTGTGTGCAGCCCACACTGCAGGATAAACTTCCTGCTGCAGCTGATCAGATGTTCTCAGAGCAGAGAAGTGGGCGTGGCCAAGAACGCTTGCAGAAGGCTGAGGGCAGCGGAGGCAGGGAGCTGAACTCGTGACATTCTGTGCTCTTTAAGAGCGTTCAGAAACATTGTTTAGAATATTGTAAGACTGTGAGAAGGTTTTAAAATGCCATATATATTTATATAAAATACTGAAATAAACAACTACTTACTACTTGTACTACTACCCTGATGCATGCTCAATAATCCAGGTAGAAAAATCCAAAAAAGTCCAATCTGGTCCTCTGGACATTCAAAAAAACAAAAAACAAAACAAAGCAAAAAAATCTAGAAACGTTTCGTCTCTCATCCAAGAGACTTCCTCAGTCTGAGGTGCTGTATTCAGCTCAGTCTCTTAAATAGCACCTTCTCAGAGTGGATCAACCAGTTTTGCTGCTGACAACCAAAACCAGCTGATCACATGCTCAAGAAGGACCATCAGCCTAACAATGGATCATTAGCACACTGATGGCGGTTTACTATTCACAGAGGGCTGAGTGATACTAGCAATCACAGCATTGTAAGAGGGGGACAGTTGAACCCGGAGGCCTCCACTCCTGTTTAATGATGGACGATTTCTTTTCACAAAGATGGCCTCCTTTACTCCTCTCTCAAACCATCGTTCCTCTCTGTCCAGGATGTGAACATCTTCATCCCTGAAAGAGTGACCGCTGGCCTGGAGATGAGTGTAGACCGCAGAGTCCTGGCCTGATGATGTTGATCTTCTGTGCTGGGCCATCCTTTTGGCCAGTGGCTGTTTAGTTTCCCCGATGTAAGACTGACCACAGCCCTCCTGACACTGAACAGCATACACAACATTACTCTGTTTGTGCCGGGGGACTGGATCTGTGGGATGAACCAGTCTTTACCGTAATGTATTTTGGGGTTTAAAAGCCACTGGGACGTTATGTTTAGAAAATAAACGTCTCGGTTTCTCTGATACTCCCTCAACATATGGAATGACCACTGGTCTGGGTCTGGGTTCCTCCTTTTCACCTGATGGCTGACTGGAGTCCTGTTTGGGTTTCTTCTCTGCTTTCAGGAAGGCCCAGTTAGGATATCCACATTGCTCTAGAGCCTGTCTTGTGTAGGATTTCTCCTTCTGCCTGGCTTCCGAGCTAGTGGGGACGCTGTCTGCTCTGTGATACAGAGTCCTGATGACTCCTAACTTGTGCTCCAAAGGGTGATAGGAGTCAAACTGCAAATACTGGTCTGTGTGGGTGGGTTTGTGGTACACCTCGGTTTGCAAATGTCCTCTATCAGAGACTGAGACCTCACAGTCCAAGAAAGCCAACTTGCCATTTTTTACATCTTCTCGTGTGAACTTGATGTATTTATCCACAGAGTTGATGTGGTCAGTAAAATGTTGGACTTCCTGAGATTTAATTTTAACCCAGGTGTCGTCAACATACCTGAACCAATGACTTGGTGGTGTCCCTGAAAAGGACGTCAAGGCTCTCTTTTCTACCTCCTCCATGTACAGGTTGGCAACAATAGGAGAAACTGGAGACCCCATAGCACACCCATGTTTCTGCCTATAATATTGCTCCCCATATGTGAAGTAGGTTGACTGCAGGCACAGTTTCAAGAGTTGACACAGTTGTTCTGTGGAAAGCGTGGTCCTGCTGCTCAGAGTGGTGTCTGATTTTAATCTTAAACTGACCACCTCTACTGCATCATCAACAGGAATGCACGTAAAGAGTGATGTGACATCAAAAGAGACCATTGTTTCATCAGTCTCCATGATGACATCCCTCACCTTATCCACAAAGTCCATGGTGTTCTGTATGTGGTGTTCTGAGCTGCCAACTAAAGGGATGAGTACAGACGCCAGATATCCTAACTGGGCCTTCCTGAAAGCAGAGAAGAAACCCAAACAGGACTCCAGTCAGCCATCAGGTGAAAAGGAGGAACCCAGACCCAGACCAGTGGTCATTCCATATGTTGAGGGAGTATCAGAGAAACCGAGACGTTTATTTTCTAAACATAACGTCCCAGTGGCTTTTAAACCCCAAAATACATTACGGTAAAGACTGGTTCATCCCACAGATCCAGTCCCCCGGCACAAACAGAGTAATGTTGTGTATGCTGTTCAGTGTCAGGAGGGCTGTGGTCAGTCTTACATCGGGGAAACTAAACAGCCACTGGCCAAAAGGATGGCCCAGCACAGAAGATCAACATCATCAGGCCAGGACTCTGCGGTCTACACTCATCTCCAGGCCAGCGGTCACTCTTTCAAGGATGAAGATGTTCACATCCTGGACAGAGAGGAACGATGGTTTGAGAGAGGAGTAAAGGAGGCCATCTTTGTGAAAAGAAATCGTCCATCATTAAACAGGAGTGGAGGCCTCCAGGTTCAACTGTCCCCCTCTTACAATGCTGTGATTGCTAGTATCACTCAGCCCCCTGTGAATAGTAAACAGCTATCAGTGTGCTAATGACCCATTGTTAGGCTGATGGTCCTTCTTGAGCATGTGATCAGCTGGTTTTGGTTGTCAGCAGCAAACTGGTTGATCCACTCTAAGAAGGTGCTATTTAAGAGACTGAGCTGAATACAGCACCTCAGACTGAGGAAGTCTCTTGGATGAGAGACGAAACGTTTCTAGATTTTTTTGCTTTGTTTTGTTTTTTGTTTTTTTGAATGTCCAGAGGACCAGATTGAACTTTTTTGGATACTTGTACTACTATTCCTACTTCGCTGTTTTTCACTTATCGTGGGGCTTCAGTGTATGGATCCCCCGTGATAAACGAGGGACTACTGTATTTCAAAAGAAATGACAAAAAAACTGAAAATGAAAACTGCTATTGATACTAACTTTTTTGTTGTTGTTGGTATACAACCAGTAAAATTCAGTTTTGTGTTAGTTTTGGTCAAAGCTTGAAAGAGTCGCTGCAGAGGGACCAAAGAGTCGCAGGCTGCAGACCCCTGGAATAGACAATATGACTGAATGATTATACTTACAGGCGTTGTAAGCCTTTTTCTGAGACAGGATTCTTATCACATTTTTCTTCTTGAAACTTTCTAGGGACGGTTCTGGAGCAGGCACTAAAAAAAGTTTTATAAAGACCCAAAAAGTGAAGAAGTTTAAGTATAAAGGTAAACAGTTTTAAATTTAAATACACTCCATTTATTTATTCATTTGTTCAAATGAATTCTATGCTGTTAAAATTCACATTTCTACAATAATTTGAACAATATTCTTAAAGAACTGCTTTTTACGTTTCAGTCAAATCAACAACTAATCAAGCTTTGTTATTTACTGCACGTGTGTGTGACTCGGACTGAGCCAGAATTATTAACACGAGTGAGTTTTTGGTTTACATACACAAAGAACTGCACTTTTTGATTTTCAAGTACTCACATGAGCACTTCTGAGTCCCAAAGTGGAGCTCCAGATCCAAATACTTCACCATGTCGTGCAGTTTGTCATAGTCTGAATTTTCCCCCAACTACAAAAAGACATTCAACAAATAAATACATTTTATTATTATTATTATTATTTGATAATAAACAGTTCGTTTGTGGCTAAAGGACCAAAAGAGATGCTGATCTTTAAAAATAAAACATCAAACTCTTTGTAAAGCAGACGTGGGCAACTTAAGGCCCAAGGGCCAAAAGTGGCCCTTGGACAATCTCCATCTGGCCAACCGAAGAAAACAACTTTTAAAAAAAAGATTGATAAAAAAAAAAAAATAATAATTTATAAACGAGACTGAAGGAAATTTGAATGAAAAATCTTACTCAAAACTTAAAAAAAAAAAAACATTTTTAAGTCATTGTGTTTCCAGAACTAGACTGAACCTTAAATACATAGAAACACAAATATAAGTTTGTTTTGCACATTTCCACCAACATGTATAGCATGTTAAGCTAACATGTATAATATAATGTCACAAGAGCCAGTTTACAATATGTGTTATATTCCTAAAGAATTTTGGAAAGATACGTTTTTATAAAGCATGCTAACTATGCTACAAGAAAAAGTCTGAAAAAGTATTATCTGTCATATAAAAATAAAAAAAATTCCAATTCTCTATGCAGCCCTTTGATTGTTTCATACGTCTTGATGTGGCCCTTTGGAAAAAAATGCTGCCCACCTCTGATCTAAAGGGTCATTTCTATCAAGGGTGTGCTAGTTTGAGCTACCAGATGAAATACTTGAAGCTCTTTCTTACTGTAATAATGTCATTCAAGGGTTAAATTGGTGTGATTTGTTTACATTTACATTATATTTCAAAGCTGAACAACTAATATTGAGACACCATCTTCTAAAACTAGCTACAAAGACAGTAGACGTGAGGTGATACTGTAATCATCTGTATGCTGCATCTCGGTTTGTAGAAAAAAATAACATTTAAAGTCCTATTTAAAATTCAGTTGCACTTTTAAAGCCTTAATTCTCGTGTCTCAACTCCACACTACTCACCTGACCCCATATTGTCCCCTCTGAGTTTTCCACTTGTTCCCAGCGCAGCCTCTTCACACTCATGTGATGGGAGTCCATCCTGGACAGAGTGGGTCTTGGCAGAGGAGGAGGGGAGCAGGGGGGCGGTAAGGGTGGAGCAGGAGGCGGCTCTAAAGTCTCGGTGGGGTCTGAGATGGAGTGGGGGAGGGACTGAGGCTGGCTCTGGGTTTGGGATTGCTTGTGGTGAGGTTGGGGCTGTTGTTGGGTCTGCAGGAGGTGGTGCGAGGGCTGTGAATGTGGACGAGCCGACTGGGTGGAGGACTGGACCTGCTGCTGAGACTGGTGGTGTTGGGGCAGAGGCTGGAAGGTGGAGAGGGTGGGCTGGAGGGGCTGAAAGGTGGTGAGAAGTGGCTGGGGCCTGTGTGGCTGCTGGGGAGGATGGATAACGTGAATCTGGTGCTGGTAGTCCTGAGGAGGGGGCTGTGGGATCATGTGGTGGATGTGGTGGATCTGCGGTGTACTAGGATGATGGTGGGTCTGTTGGATAGAATGGGGTCTCTGAGGAGCGGGTTTGGTGGGCTGTGAATGGTGTAATTGTTGAACCTGCTGG